CCAAGGAGACGATCGTGCAGGAGCCGCCCGCATGGAGACTGCCGGCCACGGTGTCACCGAGCCCCACCACGTGGGCATCGGCCAGAAGATCAAGGGCACCATGAAGGAGGTCCAGGGGGCCATCACCCGCAACCCAGCCCTCAAGGAGGAGGGCAAGCTCATGAAGCAGGGCGCCACCACCACCGGCACCACCCACTACTAAGGGAGGCCCTCTTACCACCATCATCTTTTCTCTTCTCCACTCTTCCCTCTCCCTCCTTCTCTTCTCTGCTCATCATGAAGGCGAGTAGCTCGTCCTCTTCTTCTCTCTCTTCAAATAAAAACCAATTATTTCCTCATAAGGCGGTGGTGGTTTATTTGGTAATGACTCAGAGGATGTGGAACTGGGAGTAGAGCAGGTCGCGCACCGCAAAGTAGTCGTCGCACAGAGCACCGTTCACGCTGATCTTGCTCCTCCCGCTGAGCCCTTCCGTTTCCTAATGTGCGCGTAACACCAACACAACGTTAGACACCACCATACGACACACTACACGCACGACACTCGATTTGCGTGCATGTTTCGCGAAGGTACCTTCTTGAGCATGACCACACCGTTGCAAATCAACACACCAGCCGCGAATTCAGTCTGTGTGGCAAGAGTGGCCATAAAGACGGTGGTCAATACACCACACCACACCACACGGCCACGTTCGGGGAGGGAAGAGAAGGTAAGCTACGTACCCGGAAGCCGTGCTGTGTGAGGATGTCCTTGAAGTCGGAGAGGCGCACTTCGCCCACGAAGACCGGGTCGTGGGGCGGGATGATCTCCTCGGGGGCCTGCTCGAGCTCGAGCTCCATGCCCTCACCTGCACGACCAGCGACACACAGTGAACAAAGGCGAGAGAGCCGGACCGTGTGTGCGCGTGCGTGCGTGTGTGTGCGTGTGTAGGAGGTGGATTGGTACCGCGGCGCGGCGCAAAGCCTGTGGGGTTGAGCACGCCGTTGACGTAGGCCACCTCTCGGTCACCCACCTTCATGAACTCCTCCTCCAGCGACTTGAGGAGCGCCTCCTTGACCTTGACCTGGTTTTACGGAAGCCGCGTTGCGGGCACAACGCACGTGAGTGGCTACTCAAACATAAACTACATAATATCCACATATACGACATATCGATATAAAGACATATATCGACGTATATATCGTCTATCGAGACATATCATTATCGGGCACCGGGTGTACGCACTCGGTAGATGTTGGTGTCGGAGGTGAGATCCAAGGTCTCGTTGTCGTCCGGCGTGTAGACGCTGTTGCACACTGTTCGCGTGTCGGCGCAGTACTCCTTCAAGTGCTCCACTGACTCAGGGGGAACCGTGGAACAGCACCTGCAGGAGGCATCACCACCGTCGCGTCGGACAGCCAACGGGTTGGTTGGTTGGTTGGTTGGTTGGGGCAATGGGCATCGTCACGAGAAGAGATGCGAGAACGCGTACCATCTTTCGCGGGGCGACGTGGGCCAGGATGGTCTTGATGGAGCGCCCGTCAGACCGGCCCTCAAAATCGATGTACTTGATCGTGCACTTGACCTCCACCTTCCTCTCCACCGCTGAAAGGGACGACAAAGAGGTCAGCAACCGACCATTAATTACGTCAACTATTCATAAATAATATTCATCAATAGCAAATAAATGGATATGTGGCAGCATTGTCACAATAAAAATGACAATGTTAATTGGGGGGGGGGCACGACACGTACTTATGCACTTGGTCGGTACAGCCTCCTCCTCCGCCGCCGCTTGTCCCTCGCCGCCCTCGGTTTCCATCTTGTCACCTCCTTCGCCGCGGGCGTTCTGCACCACAGAGCACGTGAGCACGTGGTGTGGTGTGGTGCGGTGTGGTCGCGTGTTAGGCGTACCAGCGAGTCGGCCGTCAGAGGGAAATCGCGCTGGCTTGGTGGATGAAGGAAGTGCTGCAGGTCGATCATCTGTCCGTAGTCGTCGAACTTCTGCCTCACGTCCTCGTGCGGGAAAAGCGGGCACACTTGTGGCTCGTAGTAGTTGCCACTATTCTTGGGCGCAAACCTGTGGGGCATCGCCACAGCGCAAACATGAATGACCCGTGTCTCGTGTCGTTGGTCGTGTCGTTGTGTCGTGCATAGGGCAAGTACCAGTCGCAGTTCTCCTTGAAGGGATTGAAGGAATGGGCGGTTGTGTGGAACAGGAGGGACACGTCGTCTTCCTCTTCGTCGATCTCCTCTGCTTCGTTCTTTCGCTTCTCCTCCTCCTGCAGGTGTTTGAGCGACGCGCCGCATAAGTCCCCGTGGACCTTCCGCCCGCGCGTTGTTGGTGTGTACGCACCTTCTGCTGTTCCTCGAGCAGTTTTCGCGCCTTCTCCTCCTGCTGCTTTTGCCTCCATTCGCGCAGCTCCGCTCCCTCCAGTGGCACTCGCCGATGCAACTGAATTGGCGCGAAGTATTTATAATTAATATTTAAGTATGAATAAATAATAATATTTGTTTAATGTTGTTGAAAAAATAAACAAAGCAGTGCAGTTATTGGTGCGGAGAGAAGGAAGCTGTACCTCGAGCCCGAGCGCCGGCGGTTGTTGGGTGAGGACCAGATGGCCCAGCGTGCCGGGCTGCGGTCGGTCAGTGAATATCACCGCGTGTCGTGGGTTGGACGACCACTCGACAAACAGATCGCGCGCGAATCCCCATTCCAGGGAGGCGGTGGTGGCCAGCACGACCAGAGGTTTCGGAAGCGCTTCCAATTCCTCCACGCTGTGGCACAATCGCACGAATCTGTACAACGCGCGCACGCAATGCCGGGTGAGTACCTGTGGCACGCAACACGACCAACGACACGACACGACACTCACATACTTGAATTCAAAGGGGTTGACACGATCGAGATCGAAGCTCTTCTGCACGGCGGTGGACATCCACTCGAGCTGACTCTTAGCAAATTCGATCGTGTTGTAGGCCTGCTTCTCCAGCAGCACGAGGCCGTACTGGCTCAAGCGATAGTACCTGTGGGCCAAAATAAATAAGTTTTATAATAACAATAATAACAACAACAATAATAATAATCAATCGAGAAAGCGGCAAAGCGTACGCCCAGTGCTGGTCAAAGGTGAGAAGCAGTTCCAGCACTCGGCCGGCCGTGTCGGTTGGGAGCAGAACATTACCGTCGCCCTTAAGGGTCTTCATCGTGGTGTCTGCCAGGAGAAGGTTTAGTCTTGAAGCGTTCGCTCTCGCAAGAGCGGCCAGCGCACTTTCAAAAGTTAGGCTGTGAACGCACCGAGTAGGTCCATATCGCGGGAGCGACGTGAGCTCTGCGTGGAGAGCCCATTGAACGCGTCGGTGATGAGCAGCGTGGGCCGGTTGAGCGTCTCGAGCACCGTCGGGTTGAGGTGGCGCTCCTTCTTGTGGTTGTAGTCGACGGCGTACAGGATCTCCTCGGTCTCCTTCGTGATCTTCCACACCGTGCCACCGATCATGTGGCCACCGACATACCTACGCGGAACATGACGACGTTGGTATGAGCAACGAATGCTGCATCAGCGCACCACGGTGAAGCAAAGAAGAAGAACAAGAACAAGAACAAGACAAGAAGAGTGCAGTACGGGGTGAGTTCGATGCCGGCACCACGGCCGGTCAGGCGCACATGCTGCGAGTACTTGAGCTGCTCGAAGCGCTCCTCGTTGAAGGCGGCATCGACGTCGTCCAGGTTCCACACGTCAAAGTCCTCATCCTTCTTTTTGGACTCAAAGGCGTCGTAGAGGAACATCTGTCCCATCTTGAAGATGGGCATCGTCGCGTACACTTTCGCCTTCAGCCCCCACTTCCCTGCCAGCACTGGCAACGCTCCCTGTGGTGCCGCGGCTCCCGTTGGTTAGTGCACGCAGATCAGCGCTCAATGGGCGGAGGCTGAATTACCAGATGCAGAAGATCAGGGTGGGACAGCAGCACGGCGTCAATCTTGGGGATGTAGGCCTTCACATTCTCGAGAGCCTCGATGTCGAATTTGTCGTCCCAGCCGCAATCGAGCAGAATTCGGTACTCGTCGATTTCGAGCAGCGAACAGAAGGGACCCTCCGTCTTTGATCCATAGATCGGCGTGTACTTGACGATGGCCGTCATGCCGTTCTCGCCTCACCCCCGCCTTCGAGCCTTCCAATCACAAACTGAAAGAATTGGGCCAAGAAAAAAAAATCGGAAAAGAAAATAAACAAAGAAAACATTCACAGAAATCGCAATCGAACAAGAAGAACGATCATGCAGGTGCGTAGACCAGCTCGCACTGCCTGGACAATCATTGCTGCGAGCGTTTTGCATCGGATTCATTTTATTTTCTTGATTAATTAGGCCTCCGAGAAAGAAGAGTTTAGAGGTTATCTTGAGAAGAGCGGCATCATCGACTCGCTTACCAAGGGTAAACCTCCACCCCTTTCCGTTGCTGCCCATCACTTCCCTACATCAAAGAATGATCCGCTTGGACACTGTTTTGTGCATCTTTTTTTATTTATTTTGCTGATTATTACGGCGTAACAGTGCTGGTTGGGCTCTACGAAGAGCAGGACAAGCCCAGCAGCGCTCTCGAGTACGTCCATCTTTTCCCTCTTCCGCGTTCACTTTGCGGGCCGCTGGCGGGTGGCTGAGGGCTGGTATCCACGCGATGTGTGTCACAGTTTTGTGCGACAGAAGCTCGGCGCCACGTTGGAGGACGCTGCCACCGTGGAGAGCATCAAGAAGGAAAACGCGGAGCTGAAGAAGGAGAACGCCAACCTCAAGAAGCAGATTGCTGAGCTCACAAAGGCCCAACAGCCGCAGTAATTCTCGTTGTACCTCAACTCCATCAACACTCGTTGTGTGCAAGGGATCGTGGAGAATGGGGACCAGCATCCATAGCTCTTCTTCTTCATCCTCCTCTTCATTGGGTGGTGAGGCGAGCCCAGCGCTGCAGAGACGCCAGGTCGGGCGAGGCGAGGAAGCCCTGCGCCATGCCCTCCTTGCCGCCTCCCTTGCCGCCCACAGTCGCCAACATGTCCTGCAGCACTGCAGGAACAGCAACGTGCACAGGTCAACACACACGACACACACTGAGCCTCACGAGCTGTAGATGGTCCACATCATTTGCTGGTCAAGGGTACCCTTGTTGGCCTTCAGGGCCGGCAGTTGGTCGGTGGCCAGGGTGCAGATGACCTTTCGCCCGGAGACGACCACGTGCACCGAGCCGGGCTCCTTCTCGCGCAACTGTTCGGCCTTCTTCGCCAGCACCTTGTCGTCGTCGCCCTCCTTTACACGCAAATAAGTGGGAGGTTAGGGCGAGCCCGCTGGCGTGTGTGTCGTGTGCGTCGTGTGTGTGATGTGTGTGATGTGTCGCACCGGATAGACGTGGACGGCCAGCGGGTGGCCGGAGTAGGTGCCGGCGAGGGACTGGCTCGCGCTGCTGTTGGCCGCGGACGAGGCCAGCTTCCGCTGGAGGACGCCCACCTCCTTCTCCAGCTCCCGCTCCCGCGCCAGCAGCCGCTTGACCCGCTCCTCGATCTTCACGGGGGCCACCTCCAGGGTGCGGCCCAGCGAGCTCAGGTACTGGTACTGTGCGTCGTACCACTGGTCGGCCGCCTCGGCCGCCACAGCCTCGATTCGGCGGATGCCCAGCGCCACCGACGTCTGGCCGGTGATCTTGAACGGCCGGATCTCGCCGGTGCTCGCGGCGTGCGTGCCCGAACAGAGCTCGGTCGAGAAGCCCGGCACCGAGACCACGCGCACCACGGGCGGGTACTTCTCCGAGAACAGACACATGGCCCCGCTCTCGACCGCCTTGGCGTACTCTCGCATGTCGGTCGCCACCGGCGTGTCCTGCAGCAGCAGCAGCACCAGGTCAGTCGAGATTAGTAAATGGTGATAAAGTGGGGGCGGGGGGGGGGCGTACGGCGGCGATGACTTCTCGCACGTTGTGTTCGATGCGCTGGAGCTGGTCGTCAGTCAGCGGAGAGTGGTGGGTGAAATCGAATCGAAGCCGGTTGGCGTCCACCAACGACCCTGTGCGCGCACACACAGTGTGGGTGAGCGCGTGGGTGCAGAGATAGAAGAAGCAAGACGAATACCGGCTTGCACGATGGAGGTGCCCAGGACTTGGCGCAGGGAGGCGTGGAGCAAATGCGTGGCCGTGTGGTGCGCCCTGACTCCGCGCCTGTGCCTGTCGTCCACTTCTGCCCGAAGCCCAACCTAATAGTACGCCGATAAGCTCGCTGATCGTGTGCGTGCGTGCGTTGTGTGTGGTGTGTGTGTGTGGTGGTGGTGGTGCGTGCGTGCTACCTGTCCTTTGATGAGCATGTCGGCCAGCTCCTTGAGCTCGCCTTCACTCACTTCCTGGCCCTGTTCGCCCTTGTCGACCTTGACCCGCAGCACCAGACCACCCTCATAGGGAATCAGCGAGTCCTCCACCCGGAGCCGCAGCTCCGACAAAGTCTTACCCGACCCGCCCGACACGATCAACCTCCCTGCCGCCAACGCCAAATGTCAGCGCTTTGCTTTTTGCATTGAAATAATAAAATAGTAAAATAGTAAATAAATAAATAATAATGCATTATTGATAATTGATAAATAATAAAGAAGCCAGTGGCGGTGGCACCTTTGTCGCCGACCTGACCGCCGGCCATGCCGTAGAACGGGCACGGGGAGATGCTGAGCCACAGGGTGCGTCGCTGGAGGTCGGGCAGGAGCGCAACGACGGAGGTCTCCTCCTCCACCTGCCTCGCGTAGCCCGTGAACTCGGGTGCGATGCCTGGGCGGGGACGAAGAAGAACGTAAGGCGCCGCGGTGTGTGGTGTGGTGTGGTGTGGTGCGGTGCGGTGCGGTGCGGTGCGGTGCGGTGTTAATGTACCTTCGGCCATCCACTCCTTGACGGCGGTGGGCACGCCGCCTTCGCCCAGCTTGACCGAAGAGGGCGCGGAGGACGACAGAGAGAAGGCGTGCGCGCGTGACTTCTCCCGCTCCTCGTCCATGAGTCGATCCACGGCGTTCATGTCGAACGTCTTGTTGTTCTCCTTGACGATCAGATGCGTGAGGTCGATCGGGAAACCTGTGTGTGTGTGTGTGTGTGTGGGTGTGGTGTGGGTGTGTGTGTGTGTGTGGTTGGTTGGATGAGCACCGCGCAAGGTTCACTTAGCGGCGGTGTTGGTGGTACCGAGTCGGATGTAGAGGTGGATGACCACCTCCGGCGGGAGGTCGGTGCCGGGGTTGTTTCGCAGGGCGTCCTGCAGGTAGGCCAGCCCTTGCTCGAGAGTGGCCAGGAAGGCCTCCTCCTCTTTCTCGATGAGGTGCAGGATGACGTTCTGTCGGGTGAACAGATCCGGGTAGGCCTCGCCCATCTGCGCTATCACGAGCTTGCCCACGTCGGCCAACAGTCCTGATGCATAGAAAGAAGTAAACGAAACGCACACGACACGACCAACGACACGACCAACGACACGACACGACCAACGACACGACACGACCAACGACACGACACGACCAACGACACGACACATGGGTGTACATGGGTGCTCAATCCGCAGAGGACTAGGCGCGTACCTTGGTTCCTGTTGGGCGCGAGGGTGTTGGCATAACGGGCGGCTCTGCGAATAATTCGACGCAACACGTAGCCTCGGCTGACGTTACTGGGAATGACTCCATCGCCTGCACCAGACCAACACACCACACACAGAACGCAGGTGAGCATGCAGCGCTTCTTGTGCGTTTGATAGTTTGTCTGGGGCGCGCCAGGGAGACGCACCGATCAAGAAGCACGATGCCCGCACGTGATCCACAATGACCTGATCGTTCACGATTCGCGCAGAGTGAGTGGTCAGCGTTATTTGTTAAAGTTGAAAACACCAAAGTGCGGTTGCTCTCGCACCTTGAGCGCCACGCTCTCCTGGGGCGAGAGCTGTGCCTGGGGCTGGTGGACGCCGCCGAACTTGTCGTGCAAAATGGTCCTCGTGCCGTGGACTAGGCCGCGTATGGTGTCGATATCGTAGTTCTCTCTTACCCCTGTTGGCGTATGTGTCAGAGCGAGCTCGTGTGTGTGTGTGTGTGTGTGTGTGTGTGTGTGTGTGTGTGTGTGCGTGTGTGTGTGTGTGTGGTTCTAACCTTGCAGAACAGAGGCGATTCGTTCCAGACCCATGCCCGTGTCGACGCAGGGTCGGTCCAGCGGCTGCAGCTCGCCACTCTCCGTCCGTTGGTACTGCATGAACACGAGATTCCAAATCTCGAGGAATCTATGTCGCCCGCACACAGTTCAGACATTTACGTGAGCTTGAGCGTGCACGCACACAGCGCCGAGTGAGTGAGTGCGCTGTCACCTGTCGCCATCGACCTCTTGTTGCTGGTCCCAGAAGATCTCGGTGCACGGACCGCACGGACCGGGGCCGTCGCCCATGCTCCAAAAATTGTCCTCATCACCCCTGTACGTTAACCACGGGAGGTCGTCAGCTAATGAACGATACGACACGACACGATCCACACACGACCCACTTCTTGGCATACTTGTATACGATTCGATCTAGCGGCACTCCCTCTTGTGCGTGCCAAATGTTCGCGGCCTCGCGGTCGTCATGGTGCACGGACACTAGCAGCCGCTCCTTCGGCAATCCTACACGCAAGTAGCCATACAAAAGTGAGTGTGCGGTGGTTGTGTGCGTGTGCGTGCGTGTACGGTGAGTGCGTGTGCGACTTACCAAGCTCGCGCGTGAGGTAGGTCCAGGCCAGACGAATGGCGTCCTCCTTGAAGTAGGACCCGAACGAGAAGTTGCCCAGCATCTCGAAGAAGGTGTGATGCCGCGCCGTGTGGCCCACGTTGTCGAGGTCGTTGTGCTTCCCGCCCGCCCGCACGCACTTCTGGACCGACGCCACCCGCGGCGCCGGCGGCACCACGCGACCGAGGAACGAGTCCTTGTAGGGCACCATCCCGGCGTTCACAAACAGCAGCGACCCGTCACCCCTCGGCGGCACCAGCGGTGCCGAGGCTCGGCCCTCGTGGCCCGCGCGGCTCATGTAGTCCATGAACGAACCCCGGACCCACCCCGCGCCTCGGCCCGGAGCGGAAGAGGAAGATGCAGACGAAGATGCTCTCGAAGAAGGCGAGGTCGTCGACAGACCACGCTGGGCTTCGAGCTGCAGAAGCAAGTGCTGGGGCGAGGGACCACCTCCGTTGACCCGGCGGCCACCAGCCACCGCCCATTTGCCGCCCGCACCAGCCGACCGTCGCCACATCTTCGCCACACCTAATATTTTCTCTTTCTTTTCCTAAACATTTCAGCTTTGTTTTATCGACTGCCTATTTCAACTATTTACACGGCCACCTGGCGCCCGGACGCCGCCGGCGCGCGGTTCTCCTTGTCGGCGGCCGCGCTCAAGGCGCCCTGGGCGGCCGTGGCCAGCACCTTGTCAAAGGCCTGCGGGTTGAGCGGGAGCGACTTGGAGGCGTTGTGGGTCTTGTAGATGCCCACGACGCGATCGGCCAGCTCGAACATGTTGTTGCGGAGCGAGATGACCAGGAACTGCGCATCCTTGGTACGCTCCTTGATGTAGTGGCCGATGATGGACACGTTCCGGAAGTCCAACGCCGCGTCGATCTGCGTGGCACGAATAGGAGTGAGGTTGTGTGTGTCGTGTGTGTGTGTGTGTGTAGAGGGGTAGGCACCTCGTCCATGACGTAGATTGGGGTGGGCTTGTAGTGATGGAGAGCAAAGACGAGGGCGAGGGAAGCCAGCGTCTTCTCACCGCCCGATAGGTTGATGATGTTCTTCCAGCTCTTCTTGGGCGGCCGCACGCTGAATACCACTCCCTCGGAGAACGGGTCCAGCGAATCCACCAACTACGCAAAAGGTGGAGAGCGGAGAGGTGGGTTAAAGGGCGGTCAGACGGCAGGAGTGCGCATGCGTTTGTGGTGGCGGTACCTCGAGCTCGGCATCACCACCGATGGTGATCATCTGGTACATTTCCTTGAGCTTCATGGTTATCTGGGTGAAGCCCTCCATGAAGGAGTCGAGCCGCTTCTTGCGCAGGCTGTCGTAGAGCGCGCGTTGCCCGTCGCGCTCCTCGGTGATCTTGGCGAGGTCCTTCGCTCTCGACTCGTATTCGCGATTCTTCTCTCGGTACTGCTTGAGCGCTTGCAGGTTGGGCCGCAGGGACTGGAGCTCGTCCTGCTTAGTGCCCACGGCCACCTCGAGCTGCTCCGGCGAGAGTCTGCTCAGCTCTTCAGCGCTCAGCACCCTGAGTGTACCCCTCGCGCTCTTCTTACCGCCGATGCTCTTGCGCGGCTGGACCTTTTTGGCCGGTGCGGCCTTGGTCGGCCTGCGCTCCTTCTTCTTGCTTGTCTTCGCTCGCTTGGCGCGACCTTCACCTTCTTGGTCCTCGCTCGCCTCCTCGTCTTCGTCTTCGTCTTCGTCTTCTTCTTTTTCTTCGTCTTCCTCGTCTTCTTCGCCCTCCTCGTCGTTTTCCTCGTCGTCCTCCTCCTCTTCCATTTCGTTGTCGCTTCCCTCCTTCTCCTCTTCTCCCTTTTCGGGCAGTTCTTCGTCGGCCAAGTAGTCGTAGTAGAGCGCGGCGTACTTCTTGTGAAGTTCGGTGATGCGCTGCGCCCAGCCCTGAGCAGCCTTCTGGTGTCCGTGCAGGACCTGAACGTTGGTTGTCGAATTCGCTTGTCAGTTTGTGCGACGATTGCACAGTGCGCAGAGCGACGCCAAGCAGGAATGCGATGTGTTAGGGACTCACCTTGCTGATCTCCGAGAGTTGGTTCTCCAGCTCGAGCTCCTTGCCTCGCATAACAGCGAAGTTCTCCTTCATCTTCTGGAAGTCCTGTTGGGCGGCCTGGATCTTCTTTTCTTTCTCTTCGTGCTTGGCTTGCAGCGACTTGTAGGCCTCTTCGACATCGCCCGCCGAGTCGTCCAGCTTCTGCAGCTTGGCTTGCTTATTGGCCAGATCCTTCTCTGTCTTGGCCAGCTGCGATTCCGCCTCCTTGAATGCCGACTGTTGCACACCAAACCCCGCAAACCGGCTGAGTTAGCTGAAAGTGTTGCTGACAAAGGTGGGTCTAGGAACGTACGCGAGCTTGTGTGGATTCCTTCTTGCCCGAAGTCAAGCGCACTTTGGCGCGGTTGATCCTGCGTCGCAGGTCGTCCACGGCCTTGGTGGCGGCCTCGAACTTGGCCTTTTGACGTTTCAGCTTGTCGCCACCGGCAGCGGCGATCGCTTTCTCGAGTTCGGTCACCTCGGCCTTCACCTCGGCAGCTTCCTCATCGATCTTCTTTACCGCCCGCTCGCCTTTGGTGATCTGTTTCTCGAGTGCTGCAAGAGACTCCTCTTCCTCTTCCGTCAGCTGAGCCTGTGGACAGCAGGAGAAAACAGACGTGAGCTCAGCTCTGCAGGTCACGAGTGAGGTGCGGTTCGAAGGGCGAGGTACCTGAGGTTGGAGCTGTTTGAGGCGAGCCTTGAGGTCTGCGCTCTGCTTGGTGAGCGCCTCAACATCCATGGCGAGCTTCCTGGCTTGGACGGGCAGATGCTCGAGCTCCTTCCTCAAGGCCTCCAGCTCCGTTTCCTCCTCCTCCCGCTGGGCGCGCAGCTGCTGAAGCGCTGCCGAGTGCTTCTCGAGCTCCTTTGCCATGACCTTGAAGTCCTTGCTCGACGTTGCATCCTCCTCGGTATGCGCAACCGTGTTCATACGGCCTGTGAGGTGCGAGCATTAGGGCCCTGACTCATGGGCACCAATCCAAGAAAGCAGAAGCGGTACCTGATGTGGAGGTATTGCCTCCTCCCGACATAGTGCCGTGAACGTCGATCAGCTCACCAGTGAGCGTCACGACTCGGTAGCGTGTGGGTCCATAGGCAATCCTTCGCGCCTGTGGGTGCATGTGAACAACCGCACGCTCTGACGGGAACCAGTTATCCAGAGATGCGGGTGGAGACAGTACCTGTTCCAGGTCCTTCGCCACAAGGGAATCGCGAAGGGCAAAGTAGAATGCCGTGGCGTATTCGGGCTTCTTGGACTTGACCAGGTCGTACAACCGAGGCACACCCTCAGGGGCAGTGAAAGGACCCATGTTTCGGCGCAGGTACTCGATCTTCTCCAGCACGATGAAGCTGGTTGAGCCAAGCATCTCCTTCTTGAGGAACGCAATCGCAGCAGATGCTGCCTCGACGGTCTCCGCCACCTACGATGCGTTCAACGCGGAGGTTGAGCGAATGTTGGATTGCGCTGCGCGGTGATGGTCAAGTACGTACGATGTGATCGAGGGAGGGACCAGCCGTGGAGATGGCGACGTCAAACTTCGGGTCGATCGAGCCGAGGTCGCCCAGACGACCTCTGATGCCCTTGAGAGTTCCGGACCGCGCGGCGTCCATCAGCCGCGTGAGCAGAGTGGACCGCTGGGTCTGTGCCCGAGCAGTCTCCTTCGTGTGTTCGATGGTCGACTGCAGTCGGCGTACTTCGGCTGCCAGCTTCTGCTCCTCCTCCCGAGACCGCACTACCTGCTTCTCTAGCTCCTTCGCACGTGCCTGCGCCTGAGTCTGGCGGGTGCGAGTGGTCTCAAGAAGCGCCTTCTTCTCGACAATGGCGGCCTTGACGTCGGTCAGCTGCTTCTCGGAGTCCGCTAGCTTGGTGGCGACGAGAGCCGGACGCTGGGCGAGAAGATCGCGCTGCGACTTGGCCAAGTTGACCTCGGCCTGGGCGGCATGCAGGCGCTTCTGGAAGGGCATGAACTCCTTTTGCTTCACTTCCATGGCGTCGTGTAGGCCCGCGGTCTCGCCCTTGAGGCTCTCGAGAATGACCTCGAGCTTGGCCTCTTCCTCGGCCGCCGCCGCTTCGAGCTGTCCCAGTTCGTCAGCGCACTCGTCCGCCTCCTTGCTGGCGGCTTCGGCGTCCTCGAGCTTTTCTTGGGCCTTCTTCTCGTTCTTCTTGATCTCTTCCGCGAGGGTCTTACGCTTTTCCTTGAGATGCTTGATGTCTTGCTCTAGCTGGATGTGTTTGCGTTCGTAGACAGCCCACTCGGCCTTGGCGTTACCCATCTCCTTGGCCATCCTTCCGAACTCGTCCTTCTCCTTCTTGTACTCGTTCTCCTTGGTGTTGAGAGCGGCCTTGAGCTGGTTCATGCGCTCCTTCTCTTCTTTCCACTTGGCCTCGGCCTCGCTCTTCTTCTTCAACACGCCGGCCGCCTTGGTATCGGCTTCGGATCGACGGAGCTGATACAACATCGACTGCTTCTCCAGTAGTTCCTTCTCCTTCGTCACGTATTCCATCGCTTCGTTCTTTGCCTCTTCGAGGTGGTCTCTCTCCTTCTCGGCCACCTTGACTCGATTGACCTGCGAGAGTGCCAAGCAAGTATGAGGGCGGTGAGCAGTAGCCCTACAGCGCATCATATGAGTGAGCGAAGCGCACCTTTTCGTTACGCTCTTCGTTGAGCTTCTCCACCATCTCAGCGGCTTTTTCGATCTTCTCTACGTAGACGATGGATCCGATGATGTCCTCGAGGTATTCGAGCATGCCGACGTCGTGCTGTGTTTGTGCCTTGGGCTTCATCATGGCGATCTGCTCGACTTCGCCTTGGAGGATGAGAAAACGGTTGTGGTCGAGGTCGATGCCGCGCGTCTTGAGCAGGTTGGTGACGTCGGTGAAGGTGCTCGCGTCGTCGTTGATGAAGTATTTGGACGAGTTGTTCTTGTAGGCCACTCGCGAGATGACCAACGTGCTGTCCGGCACGACTTCGTACTGGTCGTTTGGCTGCAGCACGGATTAAAAACTGGCAAGAACGTATTCGAAAAAAAGATGGTGGCGCGGCTACCTTGTCGATGATCTCGTGGAAGTAGACGGACACCTTGGCTGATTGGATGTTCTGATGGTTCTCCGAGAAGTGGAGGAGCTCGCTCACCTTGCCCTGACGAAGCTGCTTCGCGCGCTTTCCGAACACGAAGAGGAGGGCATCGATGACGTTCGATTTGCCGCTGCCGTTCGGTCCAACGATTGCCGTGAAGCACTACACGTGGAGCGTACGCTAAGTACACGACATGCACAAAGGTCTATGTACAAGAAATTGGTCCTGATGCGGTACCTTGTGAAATGGTCCTACAACGCGTTTGCCCGCATACGATTTGAAGTTCTCCAAGACCAGCTTCCAAATTACCAACCGCCCCTTCGTAGGAAGGGGTGCAGTGGCCTCTTCCATTGTCTTCTCCCTCACGTAAAGGTGGATGTAGGAACCTGTCGATGCGATTCTTGCGCCCCCTTGTGTTTTGGCGCCTTTCTCTGGCCTGTTTCCCGCCAACGCTCCATGTCGCAAAGCGGTCTACAACGTCGACAGTTGATTTCAGATAAGCAAATAAAATAGCTTAGAAAATTAAATCCGGCAATATTCTGAGTTTGAGAGAACTGCGGCTTGCAACGTTGTCGGTGTCGAGCCGAGCAGCTGGGACAGGCTCAGTTTTTCATTCATCTTCAGCTTGCCTCACGTCACCTCCAGTTAGAACACTCTCTTTAGCCACCTCGGAACCTCTCCACCAGTGAAAACGAACAAGATGGAAAGTTTCACCGAGCATGAGAAGAGAGCTGACTTGAAGCAACTCAAGACGAACCTGGTCAACACCATCTGCGCCTCCATGATCGCCGAGCCGCGCTTCGACAAGGAAGACGACACTGGCGCTCAGACCGTGGTCAATCTCGTCGAGCAGATCGTGCAGGTCGATCCCGAATTCCTGCTCAAGCTCGCCGTCTACGTGAGGAATGATCTCAACATCCGCTCGACCGCCAACTTCTTGGTCGCGCTCGCCGCTAACTACAAGGAGTCGGCCCCCTTCCTCAAGAAGTACTTCAAGCACGTCATCAACTTGCCCTCCGACTGGCTCGACGTCGCCGCGCTCTACCAGATGCTGCCCAACCGCGCCCTCACCGGCCGCGCCCTCCCCACCGCCCTCCGTAAGGCCATGCTCTTCAAGTTCCCCGACTTTGACACCTACCAGCTCGGCAAGGTACCTTTTTATTCAATTTTTTAATTTAATTATTTTTTATTTGTTTTTGTTCGTGATGGTCGCCTGGTTCTCAGCACTTCGCGGGGCTTATTATTTATATTTTTAAAGCAAAAAATTATTCGTAAATAATAAATTGGCTAATGTCTGTTCGTGCACGACAACAGTACAACAAGCAGGGCAAGCTGAAGCGCAGCAAGCAAAAGGCCAAGAAGGCCGGCGCCAAGGGAGCGCCGCCGCCCAAGCCCGATGCCGGCGGCAAGTCCACGCTGACGCTCAAGCAGATGGTGCGCCAGCTGCACATCGACGCGCCCGTCTACCACGTCATGTGCCTCCTGGGCAAGAAGTACCCGGCCAACGAGACCGACTTCCGCCGCTCGGGCCTGCCGGGCGTGTTCGAGCCCGCCAAGGCCGGCAGCCGCCTGAAGCTGCCGGTGCCCGAGACCTGGGAGACGCTGCTGTCGGCCAAGGGCAACAAGGCCGAGACGTGGGAGGAGCTGATCGACCACAAGAAGCTGCCCTTCATGGCCATGCTGCGCAACCTGCGCAACCTCATTCTGACCGGCGTCGACTACAAGTACCACCGCTGGGCCATGAACAAGCTCAACAACGAGGAGACCATCGCGCGCAGCAAGCAGTTCCCGTTCCGCTTCTTCTCGGCCTACGAGGCCATCGCGGTCGACATCGAGAAGCTGCGGCAGGAGATCAAGGAGGCCAAGGCCTCGGGCGTCAAGGCCGGCCAGAAGGCGGCGCCCGCCAAAGGGAAGGGCGCCAAGGGCAAGAAGGGCGCGACGGCCAAGCCCGGCGAGAAGGGCGAACGCCCGAAGAAGGTGATCGTGCCCAAGAACATGCCCGACGAGGGCCTGATCCGCAAGTACCGCGAGGCGCTCGACAACGCGGTCAAGTTCGCCACGGTGCACAACGTGAAGCCCATCCGCGGCAACACGGTGGTGTTCTGCTCGATCGCCGAGTCGATGAAGGGCGGCTGCAAGAGCGCCCGGGGCATGGGCAGCGTGCGCACCCTGCTCGACGTGGGCGTGCTCCTGGGCCTCATGTGCAAGTACATGTGCGAGGAGTGCGACTTCCGCATCGTCGGCGCGCCCGGCTCGCACACGCAGAGCCACCTGGGCGTCGAGCTGCGCGAGGGCACGGTGCTCGACAACATGGCGACGGTCCTCGAACGCGCCGCGTCGGGCGAGCTGGCCGACCACAGCTTCCAGTTCCCGTTCGACTACCTCGAGGAGGCCATCCGCGAGCGCAAGGTGATCGACAACCTGATCGTGCTCAACGACACCATGCTCTACCCCGAACACGACGCCCAGCTGGCCGGCATCCTCAAGAAGTACCGGCAGGAGGTCAACCCGGAGCTCATGTTCGTGTCGGTCAACCTGGGCTCGGCGGGCAAGTCGATGGAGGCCTCGGGCGACCGCCACCCCAACGACGTGCTCATATCGGGCTTCTCGGACGCCATTCTGCGCTACATCGCCGAGCGCGGCGACAGCAACCAGCTGCACTACATCGATCACATCGACAAGGAGAAGGGCATCGAGACGCCGGCGGTCAAGCCGCGCGAGCTCAAGCGCGGCTTCGGCTACACGTCGTCGACCTACTCGAACCCGTTCCGCTCGCGCGCCGTGCGCAAGCCCTTCACGCTGAGCGGCCGCAAGAGCTTCCTGTTCGACGATGATGACGAGGCCAACGACGCCCAGGCCAAGGCCGCCAAGGAGGAAGAGGCCCGCCGCAAGCAGGCCGAGGAGGAGGCCGAGGAGCGCGAGGTCGACGAGCGCGAGAAGCGGCGCGTCGAGGAGCAGGTCGAGAAGGTGCGCAGCGGCAAGTGGCGCGCCGTGCGCGTGTTCGTGTCGTCCACCTTCCGCGACATGCACGGCGAGCGCGACTACCTCGTCCGCTACGTGTTCCCCGAGCTGCGCGAGCGCTGCCGCAAGCGCCGCCTCCACTTCTACGACGTCGATCTCCGTTGGGGCGTCACGCAGGAGGAGGCCGAGACCGAGGGCGCGCTCCACATCTGCCTCAACGAAATCGACCGCTGCCGCCCGTTCTTCATCGGCCTCCTCGGCGAGCGCTACGGTTGGCGCCCGGCCGCCTACGAGCTGCCCGAGGAGCCGCGCTACCTGTGGGCCAAGAAGTACCCGCAGAACCGGTCCATCACCGAGCTCGAGATGTTCTACGGCGCCCTCCGCTGCCCCAACGCCGCCGAGTCCTACTTCTACTTCCGTAACCCGGCCTTTGCGTCGTCGATCACCGACGAGGCCGTGCAGGCGGACTTCTGCGCCGAGGACGCGCACGCGCAGGAGCGGCTCAAGGCCCTCAAGCAGGAGATCCGGGCCACGTTCCCTGACCGCTCGCGCAACTACAGCTGCGGCTGGGCCGGCGTCGTGGGCGGCAAGCCGATGGTGGACCGGCTGGAGCAGTTCGGCCGCCACATCCTCGAGGACCTGTGGAAGGGCATCTGCCGCACCTTCCCCGAAGTGTCGCCCCTGGGCACTGACGAAAGCCGCCTGAGCGTGGCGCGCGAGAGCCACGAGGAGTACGCCATCTCCCGCACGCGCGTGTTCGTCGGCCGGGACGACCTCATCAAGACGATGACCAAGTTCGTCGACGGGGACGAGCCCGGCCCGCTGGTGGTCACGGGCGAGCCCGGCTCGGGCAAGTCGGCCCTGGTGGCCCAGTTCTCGCGCCTCTACGCCGACAAGAACTCGGAGGCGCTCGTGATCGCGCACTACGTGGGCGCGGCCACCGAGGCGCGCGACATCCGCCACGCCCTGCTCCGCATCGCGCTCGAGCTCAAGGAGCAGCTGCAGCTGAGCGAGGAGGTGCCCGAGGAGGAGAAGGAGCTGCGCCAGGTCTTTGGCAGCGTGCTCGAGGCCGCCGGATTCGCCGCCGGCGGGCGTAAGGTGGTGATCCTCATCGACGGCATCAACCAGATGGAGGCCAAGGACAAGGCGCTCGACTGGCTGCCGGGCTCGACCCGCGTGCGCATGGTGGTCTCGACCCACGCCGACACGCCCTCGCACCACGCCCTGCGCCACCGCAAGCCGCAGCCGCCCGAGATCGCCGTCGGGCCGCTCGAGGAGAACCACCGCAAGTCCCTCGTGCGCGCCGTGCTGGCCGAGTACCGCAAGAAGCTCGACGAGGCGCCCGGCAACAACCAGATGCGCGTCCTCCTGCGCAAGCCCGAGTCGCACAAGCCGCTCTACCTCGTGCTCGCCTGCGAGGAGCTGCGCCTGTTCGGTCTCTACGAGCAGCTGTCCAACAAGATCAAGACCCTGGGCGGCACCGTGCCCAAGCTGTTCGACGAGCTGCTCCACCGGCTCGAGTCCGACCACGAGAAGGAGACCCTCAAGCTCACCCTCTCCCTCCTCGTCGCCTCGCGCGCCGGCCTGCTCGAGGCCGAGCTCCTCACCATCCTCGCCCGCGACAAGAAGAAGGAGGCCGAGCTGCCCCGCGCCGTGTGGGCCACCATCTTCGCCGCCCTCCAGCCCTTCTTCCGCCCCCTCGGCCCCTCGGGCGAGGACGCCCTCTCCTTCTTCCACGCCCAGATGGAGATCTCCGTGCGCAAGCGCTACCTCTCCATCCGCAACAACGAGCTGCGCGTCCAGAAGCAGCTGGCCAACTACTTCCTCCAGCGCGCGCGCGTGCCGTCGGGCTCCGGCAACGACGCCTGGCAGTGGGTGGACGACCGCCGGGCCATCAGCGAGCTGCCGCACCACCTGGCCAAGGCCCAGATGTGGGACGAGCTCGAGTCGGTGCTGTGCGACCTCAGCTTCGTCAAGCTCAAGTGCAGCCTCGGCATGGCCTTCGACCTGCTCAACGACTACAACGAGGCCCTGGCCACCGAGCACCAGTGGGACGGCCGGGCGCGCCTCGAGCAGTTCCAGGCCTTCTTCGCCGGCAACGCCCACATCCTGGGCCGGTACCCTGACCTCACCCTCCAGCAGGCCGCCAACCAGCCCGACTCGTCGGCGCCCGCACAGGCCGCACAGGGCCTGCTCTCGGCTGGTAGCGCCGACGGCTGGGTGCGCTGGATCAACAAGCCGCAGGACCAGGGCGCCTGCAAGCTCACCCTCGCGTCGGAGCGCGACCCGGTGCTGGCCTGCGCCTTCTCGCCCGACGGCAAGGAGCTGGTGCTGGCCTCGCGCGACGGCACCCTCCGCATCTGCGACGCTGCCACGGGCGCCGAGAGCGCCACCCTGCTGGGTCACACCAACTGGGTCGTGGCCTGCGCCTACTCCTACGACGGCGCACGGATCGTCTCGGCCTCGTGGGACGGCACCCTTAAGATCTGGGACACCCGCGCTGGCGTGGAGGTGGCCACCCTGCGCGGTCACGGCCGGCGCGTCAACGCGTGCGCCTTCTCGAACGACGGCCAGCGCATCGCCTCGGCCTCGTGGGACTGCACCGTGCGCCTGTGGGACGGCTACTCGGGCCAGCTCCTCAAGACCTTCCACGGCCACACCAAGCCCGTCAACGCCGTCGCCTTCTCGCCCGACGGCCGCCAGATCGTGTCGGCCTCGTGGGACTCGAGCGTCAAGCTGTGGGACGTCGAGCAGGGCACCGAGGTGCGCACCTTCTCGGGCCACTCCAAGTCGGTCCGCTCCGTCCAGTTCTCGCCCACCGGCGCACAGATTGTGTCGACATCGGTGGACACCACGCTTCGCGTGTGGGACGCGCGCACCGGCGAGATCGTCACCACGCTCGAGGGCCACTCCAAGGCCGTCAACGCCTGCGCCTTCTCGCCCGACGGCCGCCACCTGGTCTCGGCCTCCGACGATCAGACTGTGAAGGTGTGGGACGCGCTCGGTGGTCGCGAGATCACCAAGATGGGCGTGGCCGACATGTCCCTCAACGCCTGCGACATCTCGCCCGACGGCCGCCGCATCGTCGCAGCCCTGGCCGACTGCACCGTGGCCGTGTGGGACGTGCTCTCGGGCGAGATCGTCTTCTACATCCGCGGGCACACGCGGACCGTCAACGCCGTGCTCTTCTCCCCCGGCGGCAGCTACATCCTGACCACCTCCGACGACGGCTCGCTTAAGCTGTGGTCCGCCCGCGACGGCTCCCTCGCGCGCACCCTGACCGGTCACCGCGACTGCGTCAACGACGCCTGCTTCTCGCCCGACGGCGCCAAGATCCTGTCGGCGTCCGATGACTTCACCCTCAAGATCTGGGACACTGAGTCCGGCGCCGAGGAGAAGGAGATCAAGGGCCACACCAACCGCGTCACCGGCTGCGCGTGGGCGCCCGACGGCAAGCGCGTGGCGTCGTCGTCGAGGGACAACTCGCTGCGGATCTGGAGCCCCGAGACGGGCGACGTGAAAAAGATCTTCAAGGGCCACATGGACTGGCTCACACGCTGTGCCTTCTCGGCCGACGGCAAGAAGGTGGTCTCGTGCTCGTGGGACTACAACATGAAGCTGTGGGACGTGCGCGCTGGCAACGAGATCGCCACCCTGCGCGGCCACATGGGCGCCGTGAGCGCCGCCGCCTTCTCGGCCGACGGCAAGTACCTCGTCTCGGCCTCGCTCGACGGCACCCTCAAGATCTGGGACCCGGTCAAGGCCCACGAGGTCACCGCCCTCCGCGGGCACTCGGGCCGCGTGAGCTGCGTGCGCTTCGCCCGGACCGGCACCACGTTCGTGTCGTCGTCGGAGGACGGCACCGTTCGGCTGTGGGACGCCGAGGCCGGTCAGGAGATCACCACCCTGCAGGGCCACGCCGACGCCATCCGGCAGGTCAAGTACTGCCCCGACCGCGACCAGATCGTCTCCACCTCGGACGACTGCACGGTCAAGGTGTGGAACGCCGGCGCCCAGCGCGAGATTGCCGGCCACTCGCAGTGGGTCACCGCCTGCGCCCTGGCCTCCTCCGCGCGCGTGCTGGCCACCGCCTCGAGGGACGGCAGCATCAAGCTGTGGGACACGCGCACCAACCGCCCGCGCACGGCCCTCGCCGGCCACGACCAGCCGGTCAACTGTGTCGCCGTGTCGCCCGACGGCGCCACCGTGGTCTCGGCCTCGGATGACTTCACGCTCAAGGTGTGGAGCGGCAAGGAGGGCGACCACCTCCGCACCATGCGCCACCACACCAACTCGGTCCGCTGGGTGTGCTTCTCGCCCAACGGCGCGCGCGTGGCGTCGGCCTCGTGGGACAACACCGTGTGCGTGTCCGACCCCAGCAAGGGCACCCTGCACCTCACCCTCCGAGGCCACACGGACTGGGTCAACGCCTGCGCCTTCTCGCCCGACGGCTCGCGCATCGCCACGGCCTCGCACGACCAAACCGTCATCTTGTGGGACTCCACCACCGGCGCGCGCATCCACACCTTCACCCACCACGCCAACTGGGTCGTCGCCCTGGCCTTCTCGCCCGACAGCAAGTACCTCGCGTCGGCCTCCTACGATGCCACGGTGGTGCTCACCCACGTCGAGCGACGCACCACCCGCTCCTTCCGCCCGCACACCAAGCGCGTCAGCGCGCTGGCCTTCACCGCCGACGGCGCCCATCTGCTCTCGGCCTCGTACGACGGCTGCATCACGGCCCACCGCGTGGCCGACGTGCTCAGCGTCACCGATCCGGCGCCCTCCGGCCGCTTCTTCACCAAGGCGCCCGCCACCGCCCTCTGCTCGTCGGCCTCGCTCTCCGCCGCCGGCGACTCGCTGGGCAACGTCTACCAGCTCAACTTCGAGCTCTAAGCTCTCTGGATCGACCTCCTCTTCAGTTGTAGACTGGACTGGCCCAACCACAAGATTGTACATTCATTCACAGAACAATAATCACACCAATTCACAAAGAATGGGGACTCCACAGCCCACCCAGAGACGCCAAGGATCGTGGGCGATTCGTGAATGAATGTAAAGTGCGTCAGGAGGTGGAAGCTGACGTGTAGTGCAGATAAAAAGGATATGCACCGGTGATAAGAGATCACCGACAGCTAGGACGGCTTATGTGATGCAGTGATCTCTTGGGTTAGTTGTTGTGAGATACAAGTATAGAAAAGAAGAGACATGATAGTGGACAAGGGATGACTAGTGGTGAGAGGAGTGGAGAAGTAAAAAGGAGGTGAAGAGCTAAAAAGGATACGGCACGGTGGATTCCCGGGTGGTCGCCCACCCCAGCACTAACACCGCCTGGCGCAGCTTAACTTCGCTGTTCGGATGGGAAGCGGTGCTTTCTGCGCAGTGTGCCCGTATCCATTGGTACGCACGCTCTTCTTCCTGACTGATCACTTGCTCAGGCCCCTTTTTTTATTTTTTTATCTGGGAAGAAAAGAAAAAGAATGGAAATTAAGCCTGCAGGCGGGATTCGAGGAAGATCAGTGCCAATTCGCAGAGTAGCATCCCGATGAGACGCGCATCCTTCCTCCGGTCCACCCCTTCATCGTTCATCCCAGGTACCATTCTCCTTGGCACGAATTTTGCTTCATTTTATTAAAATCGAAACATGCAATCGTCGAAGTTAATCACAACACTGGATCTCCCCCAATCGTGGCCATCTCTGACTAAATCGTATCCAATAACACCTCCTCTGCCTCGCAGTGGGAAGCAGGCGCATTGGGGCCGCCCAGCAGCTCCCGAGCGTCGCCACCGGGCCTCTTCGTAGCATCTCAAGCTCCACCTCGGCTGCACTGCCCCTCCTCACCAAGCGGTCTTCGCTGCCGCTCTCCCGCCAGTCTGCCCGATGGATGGCCACGCAGGGCGACGCCAGCTCTGCCGACTCAAGCAAGAAGGAGCAGCAGCAGCACGACAACGACCAACAGCAGAAGGAGCAGAAGGAGAAGCAAGACGATGAGCGAAAAGAAGAGGAACAGAAGAAGGAGGACTGGGAGAAGTCGCGAGGTGGTGGATACAAGCAGGAGGTGAACACGTTCCAGAAGCTGCTGGCGGTGGGCATACCGGTGACGGCGATCGTGCTCGGCGTGAAGGTGCTGCTGGACATGCAGGCCACCGGCGCGGAGGACGACACGCTGCAGGTGGACATGAACGTCATCATGGGCCACGTCTTCCAGAACACCGTCTACAACGTGCTCGACTCGAAGAGGCTCGTCGGCCTGCTGGGCGATCCGCTGCTCGTCGAGCCCAGCAAGGCCAAGTTCAGCTTCACCAAGGACTCGGCCTGGGTCTGCTACCCGCTCTACGCGCCGCAGGGCCACGTGTGCACGGTCACGGTCGATCTGCTGCGCATCGATCCCAAGGGCAAGGACGTGAAGACCAAGAAGCCCCACATGTGGTACGTGGCGCAGGTCGAGGTCGACCTCAACAACGGCAAGAAGGTGCTCATGAGCACCCGCATGTCCGACGGCCTCAGGCAGCCCTTCAACGTGCTCACCCTCTTCGCCAAGCTCTACCACGACCTCAAGAAGCAGGAGCAGGAGTTCCTTCAACAGCAGGCCGCCGCGGCCCTCAACCAAGGCCCTGCGCCGCAGTGAGCTCCAACCAATACAACATTCTTCAAATACTTTACATTTTTAAACCAAAAATGTAAAATGTAAAATCGAATGATTGATCGATTTATCAATCGAATTGAGAGAGAGAGATGGAGCAGCAGGGCGCAGCTGGGACAGGCGGCAAGGGAAAGGGCAGGGGGAAAGGCAAGGGAAAGGGGAAGGGAAGGGGAAGGGAGAAGAAGAGCCCCACAAGGAGGACGGAGCGGCTGCTGTTGCTGTCGCCCCCAATGTAGCGGCTGCCGCTGGCGAGGAGGAGGAATCCGAGCAGGCCGTAGTGTCAGTGTCCACCCCCGTCGAGAAGCCTGACAAGGAGTTCAGATTCTGGAAGACCCAACCCGTCGCCCAGTTCGGTACTGATCATAATGTCACTTCCTGCGCCGCATCCATTCAATGATTATTATGCAGCAATTAACACTTTAAATTCGCGAAATTAGACAAGCCATTGGAGGGCGACAATGAGGCGTTCGAGCCCAATAAGCCAGTGGATCAGGTGCAGCAGGAGCCCTTCAAGCTCAACGACCTCTTCGAATGGAGCGACGTCAACATCGAGGTGCCCGACGAGCTGGACGAGCTCTACAACCTCCTCTACGAGAACTACGTCGAGGATGATGACAACATGTTCCGCTTCGACTACTCCAAGGACTTCCTCCTCTGGTACGCCACCCCACCCACGCCCGCACCGCCCGCATGGCTGCACTCGAGGCCCGGCGGGGCACTGACTTGGTAGCCAACGACGGTGTGGTGCTTCCGCGACAGGGCCTTGAAGCCGCCCGGGTGGAGGGGCGAGTGGCACGCCGGCGTGCGGGTCAAGACGAGCAAGAAGATGGTGGCCTTCATCTCCGCCATTCCCGCCCTTATCAGCGTTCGCGGAAAGTGCGTCACCTCGCTCGCACCACCGCACACGACGCACACGACGCGCGTGCAGTAGTCGTACTAAACCCCTCCCCTCCACTCACACCATTTGACATTGCATTGCTCAGGCAGCTGAAGATGGTGGAGATCAACTTCCTCTGCGTCCACAAGAAGCTGCGCGACAAGCGCCTGGCCCCGCTGCTCATCAAGGAGATCACCCGACGGGTCAATCTCACCGGTACTCTCCTTTACTAGCTCAGCCCCGCTGGCGCCAGCGGTGGTAGTTTCGTGGTGCACTGACCGCGGTGGCGGTGGTGCTCTCCAGGCATCTTCCAGGCCGTCTACACGGCGGGCACGGTGCTGCCCACGCCGGTGGCCAAGTGCCGCTACTGGCACCGAAACCTCAACCCCAAGAAGCTCGTCAACGTCGGCTTTTCGCACCTGACCCGAAGGATGACCCTGCCTCGCGCGGTCAAGCTCTACAAACTGCCCGCGGCGCCGCTCACGCCCGGCATCAGGCCCATGGAGCAGAAGGACGTCAAACAGGTTCGTCTGCGGAGCGTGTGTGTAGGGTTGATTCGTTAATACCACACTTGCTCATGCGTGTGTCGTGCTGTGTTGCGTGTCGTGTGTGCAGGTGGCTGCGCTGATCAAGTCCTATCTCGTGCGCTTCGGCCTGGCTCCCGTCTTCTCGAAGACCGAGGTGGCCCACTGGTTCCTCCCCAGAACCGATGTGATCGTGTCGTACGTGGTGGAGGACAAGGCCACCGGCAAGATCACCGACTTCCTGAGCTTCTACTCGCTGCCCTCGACCATCATCGGCAACCCCACCTACAAGACCCTTCGGTACCCCCCCCCCTCTCACCGCTCCGCCTCCTACTTGCTTGCCAGCTCATGTCGTCTGTCATGTTGGCAGCGCCGCGTACTCGTATTACAACGTGGCCGGCAAGACTCCGCTCAAGAACCTCATGCAGGTGCGTACACTCCGCGTGCGTGTCCTGTGGCGTCTCTTTGTGTGTCGTGTGCGCTAACGCGGTTGTGTTTTTGCACCAGGACGCGCTCATCTTGGCCAGCTCGCTGGGCTACGACGTCTACAACTGCCTGGACCTGATGGACAACGAGTCGATCCTGCAGGACCTCAAGTTCGGTCCCGGCGACGGCAACCTGCACTACTACCTCTACAACTGGAAGGCCAACACCATGCCCGCCAAGGACGTCGCCCTCGTCCTCATGTAATCGTCCGGCCCCTCAAGGCCTTGGTGCCAACGACGAAGACAACCGATCCACCAAAACCGTTGTGTGTCCATGTCATGTGTCGCGTTTGATGTGTTTTATCATCTGTGTGCGGCTTGCTTCAAGAGGAGAAGCCGCAGCGCAGGTTCCAGTACTGCTTCTGCGCGGCGCTCTCGAGCACGGCCAACTGCTTCACCAGCGGCGTGAGCTGCTGCAGGTGGATGAGCGTATCGTGGCTGTCCGATTGGTCCTTCTTCTGCCCGTAGACCACCTCTCCCTCGCTTGCTCCCGGGAGCTGCATGTTGCTGTCCAACTGTGTGCGTGCGACACAGACACACACACACACACACACACAAACAAGAGGGCGCAAGCGATGACATAAGTAAGGCCATTCGCCATCGGTGGGTGAAGGTGTGGTGGAGTACCTCGGGGATGGGTTCGCCGCCGAGTCGCTTCTGGATGGCGGCGATGTAGGAGGGCTCGTCAAACCACAGACCGCACCCGCCCTCCTCCACCAGTCGCACGTCCTGGCAGCCGGAGCCGCGGCTCTTGCACTGATGGAACCACACCTTCTCCTTGCCTCGCGCCACGATGGAGATCGCCATGCCCAGGCGATCGGCACGGCCCACGCGGCCCACGCGGTGAATGTAATCCTCCGACTTGTCGGGCAGCGTCACGTCTGTGGGGGGCAACACGCGCGTCACTCAACACACACACACACACACACACACACACACACCACACACACACACCACACACACACACGGAGTACGAGGAGAAGGGGGGAGGGTAGTACTGATGACGTAGGGCAGCTCCTTGATGTCGATACCGCGAGCGGCCACGTCGGTGCAGATGAGGAACCGGATCTCACCGTTCTTGAAGCCCTCCAGCGCCGCGCTCCGTTCCCGCATCGAACGGCCCGAATGCAGCGACGCGCACGAGTAGGCATGCTCGATGAGCGCTGTGATGCGCCAAATTGAAAAGAGTTGACCAACCGATTGTCAAAGGACGGGCGCACTGGTGGTGGTGGTGGTGGTACCTCTCTTGCCCTTCTCCTTGCCGCCGAGGTCGTTGAAGTAGGCCTCGAGGCAGTCCGCGTCCACCCGCGTTCGCACAAAGATGAGCGCCTGATCCATCTTGTGTGCGTCGATCACCTTGGCCACCAGGATGGGCTGCGACACAGAAGACACACGAACGCACATGAGATGAGACGCATGGGGATGGTGATGTAATCGTTTCGCGTGTTGGTTTGTGTCAAACCTTGAGCAGTTTGACGGCCTGCGAGTAATGCAGCTCGTTGGTGGCGACGGTCTTCGTCGTCGGGTGCGAATCTGGCAAGGACGACATCAGCAACCGAACTCGACACACACGACACACACAGGCACGCCTACCTTTGGCGTGAATGCCGTCGGTCTTGGGCCGCTTGAGCGGGCTCACCCAAGAGTGGTCCTTGTCCGGGTCCGCCCACACAATGGCGTGGTGCACCGTCTAGAGGTGAACAGGCCTCGTCAGCAACAGTAACGCGTCGTGTGGCGGTGTGTGTCGTGCGTGCCGTGCGTGTCGTGTGTGTGTGTGGCATGTGCGTACCTCGGGTACGCTCTCCTTGCCCTTGAGGTCGACCCACGTCGGGAACTTGCAGATCTTCTGCGACATGTCGGTGATCTCGGGCGAGTGCAGGGTGGCCGAGAACATGAGCACCTGCAGCCGGTGCACGGCCTTGGGCAGCTTCGAGTAGAGGTCACTGATAGCCGCCGCGTCTTCGGCCTGGGAGACCAAGCGGTCGGCCTCATCCAACACAAAGAACCGCACGTCCGACAGGTCCACCTTGCCCGACTTAATGAGATCTGTCGCGCCATAGAATGTCGGCTTGCGATCATAGCGCACACACCCACACGGACACGCACAACCGCACACACACGGACACGCACAGGGTGACGGGCGTTACCCATGAGCTTGCCCGGGGTGGCGGTGATGATGTCGACACCGTGCTTGAGGGCGTTCAGGGCGGGCGGTACGGGCATGCCGCCCACGAGCAGAAGGATCTCCAGGCTGGGCGCCGTCAGGTGCTTCTTGAACAGGCCCAACTGCTCGTGTGTCTGCTGCGCCAGCTCCCGCGTCGGCTCGATAATGATCGCCAACGGGCCACGTCTGCACTTACGCATGAGCGCCACGCCGGTGATGCATGAAAATTGATTAGTGTGTTGACGCACCCTTTGCGGCCGGCCGACCCAGCGGCGCCGAGCGTGGTCTCGGCGATGGGAGCCGCGGAGATGGGCTTGTAATCTCCCGGGTCGTATTTGAACGGCGAATGGCCAAAGTTGAACTCCATCTCCGCATTCTTGAGCACGACGGCTGTGGTAGGTCAAGGCAGTCGAGTCAGCATCGATCAACGGCTTGGTTAGTTGGTTGGTTGGTTGATTGATTGATTGTGGTGGGTAGGCGGGCGGGCGTGCATGGTACCGGGGTAGAAGGCGAAGCCGCGAGGCGGGATATCGAAGGCCTTGTCCAGCGAGCGTCCGTTCTTGGTGAAGTGGATGGTGCCCTCGTCGCAGTCGATGAAGCACCCGATCACGTCGTTCTTGCCGTAGGGTTCGCCGTACGTGTCGAACTGCCTCCTGTTGGACTTCTTGCCTGCACGACCATCGTTGTGGGCAGTGGCCCCAATGCCGCATCAGTGCCACGTCACAATGATTAGAGACGAAGCGCGAGTGTGTGCCTGTGCCGCCGAATCCGTAGCCGTGGGCGTCGGTGCCGAGATCCAGCGCAGCGGCCCTGGTGGACCAACCCACACGACAGAGACCCTCGTCGGTCACCTTTGCCTCGTAGTAGTACTTGCCTGGAGGCATGCCACACGCACCACCAATGTCAGCACGACCGCACACGCACACGCACACGCACGCATAGCGCAGCTGGTGCACCTACCTGTGGTGACGCCCACGGTGGCGCGACAGCCACCCCACTGGAACTCGTCACGGGATTGGCACACGAGCCCGCGTGCATCCACCGCGACCCGCGCATCTCGGTCGTCAGGGCTCAGGGCTACCTTCGTGCCCACTGCGGTATTAAGGATTCACATCAAACAAAACGGGTCAACTTGCGTTTGCAGCGTTGTGAAGTTCGCTTGTGCACCGGTGCACGTACCGGCAGTGTCGGTGGAGGGAGATGAAGATGAAGATGAAGATGAAGATGAGGAAGACGACGAGGTCTGGTGAGGCATGGCCGCTTCTCGCAGCACCTCGTGTACGATCTGCAGCACGGGCAGACCGAAAGCCTGCGCAACGTAGCAGCAACGCCACTACAATCAGAACCAAGCCGGCACACATGTAGTGCTTAGGGTGCGTGTGCAAGGCGAGTCGTACCCCCGTCTTGCCAGCTCCCGTCTCGGCAGCCTGCATGAACCAGGGCAGACATGCACAGATTTGAATGCAAAAAAGGATGGTATGAGTGCAACCGTGGCGATATAAGAAGGAGGGGCCTTAAAGAAGGTGCGTACGGCCATGACGTCGCCTCCGCCGAGGATGAGCGGGATAGCCTCAGCCTGGATGTCTGTGGGAAGAGTCCACCCCAGCTCCTCCACCGCCTTTATCAGCTCTGGCATCACTCCAAACTCTTCAAACGCCGCTGCCATCTTCTTGCTCTACGCTCAACACTCTTGCTCGAGCTACTCTTCCTTTGCACGTTACGTTCCTCTTTGCTTCTTGCTGCTACCCCCCCCCCGAAAAGCACAAAAAGAAAATAAAAAAGCAAGAACAGAGGAAAATAAATTTATTTATTATTTATTTGCTCACTTGGCCTTGGTCTGTCTCTCGACGCTGTAGAGGGCGTTGAGGTGGTTGGCCACATAGGCCATGAGGGCGGAGAAGAGGCCGGAAGCGATCACGAGGTACCAGGATCCGACGTGGAGCTGCAGCTGCAGGAAGCTGTTGTGATGATGCATCGACGAGAGACACGAAGTGTGAGCGAGATGGGTCAACAATGGAGGCCAAACGGGGAGTGATGATGGTACGGTACCTCACAGCGATCGGGAAGGCGAAGTAGAGAATGATCGCGTAGGCAGACATCTTGATGCTGGAGAGCGCGGTGTGCTCCTTGCGCGAGTGGGTGTACAGCCACACCAGCGTGGTGAGCGCAATCAGTCGCAACTGCATTGTGTGCGTCACGAAACGATGAGTACAAGCATTGGTCTGAAGGCTTATGAGAGTTGTGGCTGATGCGCACCAAGCTGAAGTTGGCCTCAATGCTCATTTGGATGTACTCCCAGCTAAACTCAAGCTGGCGAGCGCCGATCCAGAGCGGAGCCAAGCGCATCAGAATGGACTCAGCCACGGCCCAGCCTGCAGCCAAAACAACGTTGGTCAGTGACAGGCGTGCGAAGGTGCAGCCCCAATGCCGCATTGGCCAGCGAGGGTGGTGTCAAGGTACCGAGGCCCACGCTCAGCACTCTGGCCTCACCGCCCACGGTCTTCTGGTTGAGGGCAAAGTAGATGCCCACCACGTCACCAGCGTTGACGAGCGCCTTCAACACCTCCTGTGCGTGCAGATGCAGCTGCGCCGGTGAGTCACCAAGACGAGCAGCACAGATTGGAGAGGCGAGGAGGAACGGACGTGAAGGATCTCGAACTGGCCCTCCTCGGACGCAGGCACCAGCGTTGCAAACAAGAGCAGCTGTAGAGATCAAGAAGGGCGCAAGATGAAGATTAAGAAATACGAAATTTGACTGCCTTTCTATGTGGAGGGTTACCTTGATCGCTTGTGTTGCTACATAAATCAGAGCAGCGTACGCAACCGGGAAGAACGCATTGTACTCCGACCTGACGAAAGCAATGAAAGTAAAGCCGTGAATTAAAAATCGGGTGAGCTCGATCCCGATTTCACTGTGGATTGCAAGCCGTACAACTTGCCGGCCTTGTAGAAGATAAACGAGGGTCCGAACGCCAGAAGGGCGCAGTTGGCGAAGTGCAGGAACGTCATGCTGCACCACTCTTCCGATTCGGCTGATTAATCCTCCACCTTTTCCTTTATTTTTTCATAACCTTTTCGTTAGCAAGGCCAGATTGTTATTCCTCCACCGCTGATTGATCGGCACCGAACCTGAGCAGTTGAGATCTCGGTGCACTGAGGCTGTCGCGATGGGCAAGGACCGCAAGAAGGACAAAAAGGACAAGAAATCGAAGAAGGATAAAAAAGATCGCAAGCACGACAAGAAGGAGCGCAAGCACAAGAAGGATAAGCACAATAAGAAGGAGGAAGAGGAGGAAGATGAATGGGTGGTCCGTACGCCGCCGGGTGTAGTGGTTCCACCACCGACGGCAGCAGCAACTGCCGCCGATGACCAATCCGATGATTTCCTGCTACGCACTCCCCCGCGAGCGTCGAACGACGATGCCGCCGCTGCAGCACACGATGACGACGACCCGTTGGCGGCTCTGCCAGTGCACAAGGCCCCCAGCCAGCGCGACGACGCCGGGCTGAGCTGGATGCTTCGTCCTCCTCCCCGTGCTGCACCCCGCCCCCCGCCCGAGCGTCCGGCTTCACCACCTCCCGACGTACCCGCCAAGGCACCTCCTCCCCACAACCTTTGCTTGCCTCTTGCACTTCGCTACGCGCACGCTCGAAGTGGCTGCGAGCTGACTGCGAATGTGGGTGAGTGTGGGTTGCAGCCCAAGCCGCGAGAGCTCAACCCCTACTTGGCCGATGGTGGGTCTGGCGTGCCGACGGAAGAGGAGGGCACACGTGAGTTGAGCCCTTTTGCATTTTCTCCCGATGCACGTGGAAGTTGGCTTAACGGGTGTTTGTGTGGTGCAGGGCGAGGACGGCCGAGCTATATGGTGGGAGACGGTGGCAACAGCTGGCGAGCGCGCGCCGAGCGGAGAGCTCGCGAACGCGCACGAGAAGAGGGCACTGATCCATCCGCCCCTGCGCCGGTACTACGCCTCTCCTGCGGGGCACAGCGGACAGACTAGCACGTTGTGGACTGACTCGTGCGTATGCCGCGTTTCCCAGACGGTGCCACCCGAGTCGGTCAGGCGAGACCCGTACGGAAGCCGCGATGGAGGACGAGGAGGCGCGTCTGGTGAGCGCGGGGGATGGCGAAAGCGCAACGACGACAACGCCCACGACGATCGACGGCGAGAAAGCGACAGCCGCCGTGGTGACCGTGATCGCGATGATCGCCGAGGCTCCGCCAACAACCACCACGATGATCACGACGACGGAGGTCACGTCTTCCGTACGCGCAAGAGGGAGCTCCCGCCCGCGCGGAGTGAAGACTCGCGCCGTCCCGCGCCCTCTGGTAGCGTACCCTCCGCCAGGTGCATGTACCCCTTACCCAAGTCTCATGTGTGTGTCGTATACGTGTGCGGTCGTGTGTGCGGTGTTGTCGTGTATTCGCACTGATGAGCAGAGGATCGAATGGAAGAGGCTGAGTCGACGATGCCGCCGCCAGCTGCACCACCGGCGGCCGCGCCTGCCCCGAGAGTCACGGAAGAGGAGGCGAACAAGATCCAGGCCCAGCTGCTCAAGGCCGAAATGATGGGCGACGAGGACCGGATACGCGAACTCAAGGGCAAGCTCGCGCAGCTGCGCGAGGCTCAGAAGGTGGTCGTGCTCTCAGGCCTGGGTACGTGTCTCCAGCACCACGTCACTCGCGTGCTGTTTTAACTCCGATTCCTTCTCCTGAGCACAGACCAACACGGCAGACCAGTGAACCTCCCGGTGTCGACCAACGTGGACGAGGCCCGACGCATGATGGCTGCCGAACGGGAGCAGGACGCGAGGTCGGGCAACCTCGACTGGGCTCGTTCCCTTGCACGCCACCAGGCCTACAGCGTACGCGCACGAACTATTTCTTTCTGTGTGCCTGCGCTCATTTCTCCCCCTTCGCTTCATCGTCATCAGGACGAGGACTTCGGCGAGGTCCACTTCGACCAGGAGGGAAGGAGCAAGAAGCGCCGACGTACCGGGGTGCCCGAGCGATCGGAAGAGGATATGCGCCGCTCTCGGGCTATCGCTGGTACACTCCTTACTCAGCTGGCGGTGGTTGCTGTGCGTGTGCGTGGGTGTGTGTGCGGTGGTGCGTGATAACTGACTGTGCGCACGCACCCCGTAACGACCAGGCGAAGCGCAGGATCAGCGAATGCGGGAGAGCTGCACGTTCTGCCTGGACGAAGGCAAGCGGGTGGGCAAGCACCTGCTGCTCTCTGTCGGCGAGAAGTCCTACGTGTGCCTGCCGCACCGCGGTGCCCTGGTGCCCGATCACTGCCTCATCGTGCCGCTCGGCGTACGTCATGCCCCAACCCGTCATCAGCCATTCCCCTCCACTCACGCATGTGAGACATTTGCAGCACGCGGGAGCGAGCACGGCGTTGGAGACCGACGTCTATCGGGAGATTGTCGATTTCCAGCGGGCGCTCGTGCGCATGTATGACCAGCAGGGCAAGGCCGCCATATTCTTTGAGACTGCTGCCATTGGCAAGAGGGTACGTACGCCCACCACGGGAGATCAACTTGTGATCCAGCGGACGAGGCTCATTTTCCTCCTCCTCTTCTTCTACTGCACCTGCAGGCCAAGCACATGGTGATCCACTGCGTTCCGATGCCCAAGCGCGACGCTGCAGTCGCCCCGGGCTACTTCAAGAAGACCCTCTCCGACACCGGAAGCGAGTGGGGCCAACACCGCAAGGTACTCCTTTCTCCTCGCCCCAACGGTCGTTCGACGCCGTTGATCGCTCATCGTACTCGCCCGTGGCCACGTTCTATTAAATGATATATATATTTTTCTATGGTTACGTCAGATCATCGATACGACGGGCAAGGGCGTGCGGCGGGCCATCCCGAAGGAGTTCCCCTACTTCCACGTCCAGTTTCCCGACGGCACCTCGTTCGGCCACGTCATCGAAGACGTCAAGGGCTTCCCCAAGGACCTGGGCAAGGAGGTGATCGCGGGCATTCTGGAGCTGGAGCCCGAGGCGGTCCGCGGCGCCCACGAGAGCTACGAGGCGCAGCGCAGCCGTGCCCAGGCCTTCCAGCGCACCTGGCGACCCTACGACCCCACCCGAGCCCAACGCGCCCCCACCACACCCGTCTCCTCCGCTTCTTCCTCTTCTACAAGCAGCAGTGGTCAGCCGCCGGCGTGAGAGTGAGAATGGCTCTGCGTGCATAGTTTGGTAATAGACCACACGTGACCTTCCTCATTTCCGGAGGAGGAGCGACGAGCGCTAACTCAAGTGCAGTGGATGGTAATGATGGAGGCCAAATTGGCGTCGGGGAGGGCGACGCGAAGTAGAGGGGAGGCGGCAGGCGGGAGACGAGCGAACGGACTCGTGGTCCTCTTCATTATTATCGGTCTTGCGATTCAGCTCGATGCTGTTGAACGACCGCGCTCAATCGAGTACCACAACGGCGACCACAGCGATGTGGGCACCTTCATTCAATTCGGAGATGTGCACTATGACCAGGGTATGCCGCGCTAACAAGATGAAATTTGAGATGTCTTCTTTTTCACGATTAATCTGCGTTCATCATTAAAATTCGCAACTGCCCACAGATTACACAACACATGGCTCTACCGCACGCTACTGCCGCGGCGTCGTGCCGCCCCAACAGCAAAACGGTTGCCAACCCTACGGCACACCTCTGTCGGTTCGGCTCACACTCTTGTCGCACACGCCACACACGCCTCACGCATGATCGAGCTGGCCTGCATTCCTGACGTACGCGGCAACTCTTTCCTTGGGCACACCACAGGGCGCAGACTCGCCACGCTCGCTCGTCGCTGAGGCGCTCAGCGAGTTGGGCAGCCTGGCCAACCAGCTGAAGCCCGACTTTATCCTGTGGTCGGGCGACACTGGTCGACACGGCGCCACCAGCCCCGACGGTATGCCACCTCTTATTCGCGTGTGCGTCGTGTGTCTTATGCGTGTCGCTGATGTGATTGTTGGGAACCTCAACACAGACATCTACGCGGAGACGACCATGGTGACGAGCCTCCTGCGCCAAGTCACCAACAACTACCCGTGGGTGCTCCCCGTGCTGGGGAACAACGATTGCTTCGACAATTGCGTCGGTGAGAAGGAGAACGACTCCATCACGCGCAACTTCACCCAGATCTGGAGCAGCTACCTCAAGCACGTCGACAGCGGCCAAGACTTCTTCCGTGGTGCGTGTCGTGTCGTGTCGCGTGTGCGTGCGTGCGTGCGTGTGCGCGTTGAACGTTAAATGGACGCACTGACTCGGTTGTGGTGATGGTGTGCCCTTGCCAGGCGGCTACATGTACACCAAGATCAGCAACCAACTGCTGGTGCTGTCGCTTAACACCATGTTCTGGACGCAGAGGAATTGTGCCCTCAACGACCAAACTTCCTGCGGTCTCCCGAACTCGCCTGGTGCGTCGCATCATCACCCAGCTCCACAGGTTCACTGCGCGACACACTCGCTCATTCACGGATCTCTGACGTCTGCAGGCGCTGTTCAGTTCGAGTGGATGGAGAAGGTGGTGTCAGATCCTGCTCACAAGCACATGAATTTCATTCTCCACGGTCACATTCCACCGCTTGGTACTTCCCTCCCTCCTGGAACGCACGTCCATACAACTGGTCTCCATTCGGCCCTCTGCTCGTGTTGGCCCGACGACTGACCATGCGCTTCACGCGTGATTGCGATAGCCGCGCCCTTGAACGGCGACAAGGTGTTCTTCACCTCGTGCCTCGAGAAGTACCACAGCTTCACCAAAACCTACAAGGACCGCATCAAGGGTACCCGTCCCCTTTCATCTACACCACACGCACCTAACAAGATGCACGATGATCATCAGTCGACTGCGGCCTGATCCCCTCTTGTGGTTTGTGTCTTCAACAAATAGGGCACCTCTATGCGGACAAGCACATCGATTCCTTCTACGTGATGCCCAACAACATCGGCACCGTCCTCGTCAACCCGGCGGTGGTGCCCCTCTTCAACACTGGTACGCGTGCGCACTGGTTCTTGTAGGCCGCGCGCCACTCGACTCACGCTCACACGCTTACGAGGGTGGCAGGAATCCGAGTGTTCTCGTACGACAGGAAGACGGGCGACCTATTGAACTACTGGCAGCACTACATCAACATCACCAAAGCCAACGACGGCGCCAAGCCGACGCTGGAGCTGGAGTACTCGCCGCTGTCGCCCTACCACGGCAGCGGCGGCGGCGGCGGCGGCGGCGGCGACCCTCCCGGCTACGGGCTCAAGGACCTGTCGCAGGCCTCGTGGGACTGGCTCGACAGCATGATCGTGGACAACACCACCATGAAGCTCCTCTTCGAGCGATACTACTTCGTGTCCTACCCTGGTACGTACCTACATCGGTGCGACACACCTTGTTGCAGGTGGCGAGGCTGACGTGTGTACGTGTGTGGTTGTGTTGTGTTGTGTTGTGTTGTGTTGTGTTGTGTGTGATGCGTGCAGTTGCGCTGCCGCGGGGCAACCGTGAGGAGGCGGTCGAGAAGCTGCTGCACGGCCAGTGGGAGGCCCACCGAAAGCGACAATCCACTTGCCACTGCTCGCCGTGGCCCACCTCTTGACTCAGACACAATAACCAACAATCTGCAGACCACGTTACGCAGTGCCAGGCGAGACGTTGCTTTTTTCGCACAGGTCCGCAAGGCCCAGGGTATTTTTGACTCTAAATTTTTGGGGTGATGGAGACGAGCGCCCGGGGCTCGACGTCTCATCACCATCATCACGGTTTGGGTTGTGTTCTTCCTGCGAGCACAGCCAACTTCAAAACAGAAAACATAATATTTCAACGTTTAGTTCCACCCGGCAAGGGAGGCGATGGAGAGCGCAGCCAAAGAGGCCGCGGCGGAGCACACAAAGAAATGGTTCGCACTCCAATTTAATCGCTCCCCCCCCCCTCTCCCGGCCTTCTCTCTTCTTTCTCTTCGTGTCCGTCGTCTTCGCTCTTTTTTAAAGATCTAAAAATGGCGATCACACCCCTAAACACAGGCTCCCACGCACCTTCGTGAAAAAGGAGGGAAGTACCGTCAGCCGTGAAGAGGCCTACCTGGCCTACCTGGCCGAATGCAAGGCCCACAACCTTGAACCCACCAACCGAGCGGCCCTCGGCAAGCTATTCAAGGTACGGCCCCACATGTGTTTTTGTGTTTGTGTGTGTGGCGCCTCCGGTCGAGTGTGTGTTTCCTCACACTGTGTTGGCACACTACTGTACAGCAACAATTTGGAAAGCTGAAGGCGCGGCGGTTGGGAAACCGCCAGAGGAACAAGATGCACTACAAGGACTTGGAGTGGACACGCAACCTGGACCCGAACGACGCGACCCAACAGGGCTGTGATCAGCCCAGCACCTCACCTGGACCACGTGCCCACACATGGGTCATGGAACCGCTCTCCTTGGCCTCTGCGCCGCTGCCGCGGCCGCCTTCATCATCTTCGTCTCCGTTTCCGTCGTCATCAACGCAACCAGAGGGGCGAGTGGAGGTGATTGTCATCGGTGGCGAGGCCCCGGCGCGTCGACAGGCCTCCCACAGCGGCAAGAGAAAGAAGGTCCAGGCGATGCCGGCAACACGAAGAGCGGACGAACACGCGGGCAGCCGCAGGAATATAGCTCCGATGGCGGTGATCGAGGTACTCTCTTCGCCGACCTTGTGCGAGGAGACCGGCGAGCCAGCGGCGGTGGTGGAGAACGAAGAGCGGCGCGTAGGAAGAAGAACGGGAGTCCACCAACTCCGCTTGGAGAACGAAGAAGAACGAATACGAGAGAGCGAGGGGCATCGTCGCTGGAGCACAGGTCACCATACAGAGCAGCAGGGAATGTCCGACCTGCTTCAGTACGTAGAGGAGGGGCATAGCGCCGCTCCGCTCCTCTCGGAGTCACATCGCCGCGAGCAGCTCGTGATCCAACGCAACTATGCCACCTATCACCGGTTCGTGAGCCAGGCGTTGCTGTCCGACGCTCACTTCGCCAAGATGAGAATCATCATGGATTGCAGGTACGTACGGAGGACCTCCGCCTCAGCATTATTGCATATAAACGCTGATAAAGCTCGGTTCCAGTGCGACGTACAAGAGGGAGATGTGGAACATCGTGCCTATGAATCCTGCGTGCGTCGACAACTCTTCGCTTACCCAACTTTTCAGCGCGCCGCACGACGACTACGCCGACGCTCAATCACTCTCCACCTACATCATGCTCACCATGTGTACAGCACCTCTCCCTCTACGTCACCTTCTTTTTGATCTGCTCTCTTAGCACTTGTCATGCGCTTCATTTCTTAGCGGCATTCATCGGTGGGCATATCAACACGTCGAGGGAGTTCTTCTACAAGGCGAGGGAGCACTTGGGTTACCTGTTCGATGAGACCAGCTACGACGTGGCGGCCGCGCTCGTGCCTCTCGCCTGGTGGGCTCGCTTCTACTCGACCAGCGCGGAGCAAGGGGAGAAGAAGCAGGTCTACTACGCCACCATCGGCCAGAAGATCTGCGAGTCCGTCGGCGCCATCAACGACGCTACTTACATGGGATTCATTCAGTACGACACACGCACACACGCCACGACACACACGATACACGACACATGCAGGACACAGCCGCACACAGACACGACACACAACGCGACACGCACGACAGCTGATGCATGTTTGTAGATTGGCAGCGATACAAGGAATGACCAGTCCAGTTGAGCTGATGGCCGAGGCGTCAAAGCAGCCGGCCTACCAGAAGCGAAACTGGCGCTTTGCTGCGAGTGACTTGGAACCACCGCACCACAACCCCGATCTCATTGTGCACTCGGACATGTGTAACATCCACGGCATCTTCCTCCAGCACTTCAACTACTGCATGACCGGTACGTTTTGCCCCCTCCCCTACACTGACCAAACAAACACACACACACACACAACACCACCACCGCGCTCGACTGACGCACCGCATTGATTTCAGGTCGAACCAAGGAGAGCAAGCTCGTCTTCGTGAACCTGCTCGCCCAAACTGAGAAAATCATACGCACCCTGCGTAGGAAAAAGCTGGCCAATGAGAACACACTTCCCCAGCAGGTAATGTCAGTGTCCAGACCGTGTGCCGCGTTCTGTGTGCGGTCGTGGCCACGTGATTGATTCCGAGAGTATAACCCCACACACATTGCAGACCTTCAACATGATTCTCTCTCTTGCGATGAGCGTCCGTGCGGTGATCCACATGGTCTTGCAATCTCGCAGCCAACACGGAGCCGCCAAGTACGCCCTCCACATGCGCCCTGTTCCACGTGTGCGTGTGCGTGTGCGCTCAATTATTCACCAGACGGGTTGTGCCCCACAAAACGTCAGAGAGCTGGTGGAGCACATGATGGAAGTGAGCAAGCCGATGATGATCATCTGCCTACACGAGCTGGCCTCCAACGACTTCCTGCTCATCAGGCTCATCATCGAAATCCTGGCCCAATACCGCGACAACGACGGCTGCGAGCTGCTGGAGAGCTTCCAACGGAAGCTCGAGGACCACCGCGACTTCTATTGGATCGCCCGCACCTACGACCTGGCCGACGCCGCCATCGACCGCATCCGACGCGCCAGGGAACTCGCCCAGGCGTACCGCAGCCGGCTCTCGCCCTGGCACACCGCCGGCTCCTATACTGTCGGGGCTGGGCGCGTCGAGACCCAGCATCCACCCAGCGCCGCCTACGACCCGGAGGTACACCAGGGCTACGGCGCAGGGGTGGTTGAAGTCACGGACCCGCCCGCCTACGCGCAGTCGCCAGGGCTGCCCACACTGCCTTCGCCGGCCGCGGCTGCCTGGCAGTCCGCAGCTCCGCCTGTGGCGCCGTTGATCGAGGAGGGGCTCCTCCTCGAGCCGCAGCCTGCCACTCCGCCTGTGGTGACGCTGTTCGTCGAGCTCTCCGCCGCATCGCAGCTGGCCGCTGTCCTCCCCGACTTCAACGAGTACTGTGAGGGCGATCTGGGCGCGGCGCCTATGCGCGAGTCGGACGGTGGCACGTCGGCGTGTGATCGGCCTGAGAGCAAGCAGGGACCCTCCACCATGCCGCCTCTGCATCCGGATCTGGAGTACCGACCGCTCGGCGCGGACGTTCCGCTGTTCAGCCTTGACATGGACGAGAGCGAGGGGCAGTACCAGCCAGGCGCGGATATGTGAGGCTTGATGTGTTGTAGTTTTTAAAACAGTGCGGTGTCATGTTGGTTGGCTTGCCCGCAATGCTTCCATTGGTAGCAAGGTTTTGCAGCATGCCCGATCCAGCTTATCCATGCAACCACCGCAAAAAGCACCCCCACCAACCCACAAACGCCTGTCCGAAACCGCGGTGAAGTGCTCCGTGTTCGGTGGAAGCGGTACTCTTAAGGTGGCGTTGACCAGGCTCATTTCTCACCGCAACCAATCGCCGCGCGTGTGTGACCAGCACGTGTTCGCTAAACGGGAAATTGTTGCAACGCGCGCGAGGCGCCATTCGCCCTTGAAACTGGGTCGACGTACACCCGGAGCTTGGCTGTAGGGCAGCAAAGGGCTAGCAACAAAAGATGAGCAGCAGGGTGGAGAGCGACCCAGCAAGCTCCATGGAGGGCTGCAAGCGGTCCGCGCTGGTCCGTAAGGATGTCGCTGTGGCCCACGTCTCGACATGGTACCTTGTTGGCAACCTGAAAGATTCGAGTAGAAGAAAAGATGGAAAAATACGATTCGGAAGATTAGCTGCAGTATTGATGGACGCGTTCAACACAGGCTCAGGAGTGTTCTGGTGGAAAAGGAGGGGCACTCCGTCCCGCGCCAGGATATCTTCGACGCCTACTTGCAGGAGTGCAAGGCCCACCAGCTCGAGACCACCAACCAGGCCGCCTTTGGCAAGCTCTTCAAGGTGACCTCTCCCCCCCGGATCCTTGCGCACAATGATGACACCTGCTCACGGCTTGCCCCTCTGCTCGTTGGCACGTGACGCACACGCGTGCAACAACACAACACGCGTCTTATGTGAACATGATGTGCAGAGAGTGTTTCCATCGGCGGGCGCCAGGCGCTTGGGCCAGCGCCGACAGAACAAGATGCACTACCGCAACATCGAGTGGCGAGACAGGGTCGACCCCGAGGAGCTCAGCGCCATCGAGGCGGCGCGCAGCAAGCGCGAGGAGCGATCGCGCCGGCTCGCCACCGCCCAGCAGGCCGAGCGGCTGGTCTGGGTCCGCGAAGATGGTACGCTCGGCCCTCGTCCCATCACACGATATGACCTGCCAGGGCTGGTGATGTTTTCTTTTCTGTCGACTGTGTTCCACCGGCTGACCGGTTCTTTATGTGAGATAGAGATCGAGATAACCAGCAAGAAGAGGCAACAGCAGCAACAGAGCTCGGGCCAACCGAGGCCGTCTTCGCTGCTGCCGTTGGCGTCGCCCGCTGGACAGTCGACGTCATCGTCGCCTTCTCTCCCTTCGTCAGCGTCGGCACGCATAGCGTCGACGACGACCATGATGTCGACACCAAGCGCGCCCGTATGGCTGGCCATGCTGTTGAACCCGGCGCCGCCCACGCCGCGGCTGACGTTCGACGGAGAAGGAGAGGCGAGACCCGCTCGGAACGGGGCCGCAGGTTCGGACCAGGACGAGGAAACGGGCGAGAGGCCGAACAGCAGCAGCACGTCGTCGGTAAGCGTAAAGCTCGAACGACGACACACGGATGAGGTGGAGGTGGAATTCGAGATACGTCAGGCCAGCGAGAGAAAGAGACGAAGAAACGAACGGCATCGCGAAAGCGAAGACGAAGAGGGGTTCACGGTGCTGTCGCGGGAATGTGATTCGCGGCGAGTGCTGCGTAGCCCGGCCGACTACTATCGGATGGTCACGAGAGACGCGTGGGCTCCTGGTGCTCACATGACCCTTGTACAGGTGGCGGGAGAGTGCAGGTAAGTGAGTGCCACCACTTAACATTCATATTGTGCTGACGTCGCGCTCATCGTTGTAAATGTCGTGTCGTGTGTGTCGGTGCAGTGCGCTCTATCGGCGCGAGTTGTGGAATATTGCGCCGATCAACCCGCTGTGCCTCGAGGACACTTCTCTGAGCTGGCTGCTTACCACCACCGAGGGTAGCCAGGATGTCAGCGCGCACGCTCTCTCTTCCTACATCATGCTCACCCAATGTACGTACCACATCCCCCGCACTCACAGCACATTGCTGTCAACCAAGTACTTGCGCCTAACTGCCAACGATTCCCCAAGCGAGCTTCATCTGCGGCTACATCGACGCATCGAGGGAATTCTTCCACCGGGTACGGTCCTTCCACTACCAGCATCACCATTTGCAGTTCCATCGCGCTCACCTTTGGCTTTTGGGCGTGTGCAGGCGTATCTGCAGCTGGAGGCGCTGTCTGTGGAACCGGACTATGACATCGCCGCGGCGTTGCTACCCCTCTCGTGGTGGTGCCGATTCTACTCCGCCAACGAAGCCGAGGGCCACCAGAAGGAGGTCTACTGCGTGACTGTGGGCGCCAAGATATGCGAGTCCGTCGGGGCCATCAACGACGCCACCTACAGCGGGCTGATAAAGTACGCTGCCTTCAACACCCAACACCTGCGACACGGTCAATTTACATCACTGTGAGCACAGCATGCAGGCCCTGCACGAGATGAAGAACATCACCAAATGGCTGGCAGAAACGAAGAAGAGGCCGCCCTTCCAGAAGGAATGGAAGACCAGCAGAATACCACGGCAGTCCACGGGCGAGCTGCACCAGCGAATGTGTCACATCTATGGCATCCTCCTGCAGCAATTCAGCTTCTGCATGGGCCGTGCGTTTCCTCCTCTACCAGGCCTGGTCCTCGTCTTGGCGGGTCACGCTGACAGCGGGGCGTGGTGGGTGGGCCTTACGTGGGTCAGGCGAGGGCACGGCCGAGGAGCGCAAGGAAAGTGCGCGCATACTCGAGTGCGACCTGCTCCCACAGGCGCAGGATCTGTTGAGAGCCCTGCATCGCTACCGGCATAGCCAAGACGAGGCCCCGGCGATACAGACTCACCACCTGATCCGTGCCTACGTGCTGGGCATCCGCACGCTCATCTACGTGTGCCTCCAGTCGCCCAAACAAAACGATTCGGCCAAGTACGCAATCTCTCTTTCCCTTCAACACTTGGTTGGGTTGGCCAAGCTGACCGGCTGAATGCTGGTAATGTGCAGAGAGCTGGTGCTGCACCTGGTGAGCACGAACTCGCCAATCATGGTGATCGCCATGCACGAGCTATGCTCGAACAACTTCGTCATCTTCAAGAGCACCATCAACATCCTGGCCCGATGTCGCGAGGTCCGGCTCCTGCAGCTCTTTCGCGACAAGCTGGTGCCCTACGCCACGCAGTTCTACTGGGTGGGCACAATCCACGCCTTCGTCGTCGATGCCATCATGTTCAACATCTCATCGTCGTCGTGGCCTTCAGCCTTCCCGCCTCACCCCGCCCCACCACCAACCACACTCCCTCCCGCCTATCCACAGCCATGAAAGCCCAAACCCAAACAAAGAACGAAACGCGAACGAGTCTCGGCGTTGGGTGTTCTTCTTCGCTTTCCGTGATTACGTCGACACTTGGCGGCAAGAAGAGGCAGAAGAATTTCTCAGGCCATTTTTTCTGAGGGGGCAATAAACCCGACTTTTGCTCTTCTTCTTTCCAGATCGAATCGGTTAGAAATTGGAAGCCGTGCGGACACAACAACTCGATATCATGCAGCTGCAGGTTCTCATCTCGTTCTTCCTGATCGTCTTCGCTTCGTTCGTCTCGTCGGCGCATGCTTGGGACGCTGCTGGCGACACCATCGCCCTCCTCATCGGTCTCTTCATCGCCTTCATTGGTACCTGCGCTTTCCTCGGCTGGTGGTCGAGGCGCGGCGAGCAGTAAGGAAAACGACTGCGGGAACGACGGCCAGAACAACATCGGAACGAAATGGAATCGAAAAAACGACCTCTCTGGCGCACTCCATTTTCGGGTCAAGTTTAAAGTAGAGGAGCGAACGAACGACGAGGGGTGCGTGAACGATTGCGGTATAATTAGCTGAATAAATGTTATCATCAACGCATTAGGAAGCGTTAACCACCTGGCCTAATGTTGTTGATGGAGGCAGCAAGAACATCGTGGCTTCGTCTGGACTCGAACTGAGGCAGCCACTAAATTATTCTAGGAACGCACACGAGAAGACGCCAAGATCTTCGCGCAACGTTCAAACTGGTTTTGGCGCTACGTGATAATTGAGGCGAGACGCTGGAGTGGATTTAAGAGTAGAGGAGCCAGAAGCGAGCGGGGACACTGCTTGATCCCGATCAAACGAGGATAATTGCATTGCTCGCGATATCGCGTAGAATTAATTGTAAAAATTGAAGATGATGCAACAGGAGAAGATGAAGGAGAAGAGGGCAACAACCAAACGGACGCGCACCAAAGACAAGACTGGGGAGGAAGAGAAGAATGAGGCAACAATCCGCTTCTTGCGCGAACGAACAAAATTGCGAACGGAGTACAGAGGCCTCATCAATGAAGTGGGCGGTACGTTACTGCAGCTCAATCTCTCCATCTCGCGTCGTCGAAATTAACGATATGCGTTCTAGAATCAAGGGAGGAGATGATCCAGCCCGGCTCTGCGGCGCTACGGGACGCCATTGGCAGAGGCGATGAGCTCTTCGAGCAAGGTACCGCCTGCGCATTTAATAACAATTTTAAAATAATTAATTTTATTATTGGCGCCAGTGTCGAACCCGCGTGAGGCTGCACTCGACTCGGAGTTCCTCGCTATCTGCTCGCAGTTCGCGGCAGAGCAGGCCAACCGACTGAGCACACAGATGAGGACCTACGACGTACCCTCCTACATTCACCGGCTGGGCCTCTTCCTGCGCGGCAAGCTCACGATAAACGATGCCGGATTGGCAGAAGGCCCTGACGAAGACGAGACGGCTCTCAGGCGCAATCGGGAGAGGCGACGCGGAGACGAAGAAAACGGAGAAGCTGAAGAGGGCGAGGAGGATATCGACGACGACGCTCAGCTGCTACGCTGGCCTGAGCTGGGAGCGTTGGTGGCCGGCTTCGCTCAATCCACTCCTTCTCTCGACTGTTTGTACGTGTGTCGCTCTTCGCTCCTTTTGACAGTTGCCATATGTCGCTCACGTTCGCGATGTTCCTTCAGGGCTGGAGCGATGGTAGCCACACCGAAGGAAAAGAAGGTGAGGGCACAGCGAGCCAAGAAGGAGAAGCCGGGAGAGAAAGTCGAACCAGAGTCTGTACGTTCTGCTTCCCTCTTAGGCAGGTAAACCACGATCGATTGCTCACCGGGCGTGGTGTGCCATGTGTGCAATCACAGATCACGGACACCAAGGCGCTGGAGATGGAGGGTCAAACAGCCAAGCGGGTGGCCATAGCCAAGAAGAAGCTCGAACAGGCAAAGGTGAAGAATTTCTTCGAGTACATCGTTGACCCTGAGTCGTACTCACAGACGGTGGAGAATCTCTTTCATCTCTCCTTCTTGGTTCGCAACGGAATGTACGCAACCGGTCCCATATCCTTGTGTGCGTACTCTGTGCTCTCCAGGCCAAGTCTAAACGCTCGTTCGCTCTCATTGATCCTTTAGGGCCGCGGTGGATCTTGATGAAGCCGGGCAGCCTGCCTTGGAGCCAAAGAGTCCACCAGATGACGACGACTACGCGCAGGGATTGGAGAAGAAGCAGTGCGTTGTGCGGCTAGACTATGACATGTATCAGGTAAGCCTCCCTCCACCTTGAAGAGCTGCGAATGACGTCTTGTGCTCATCATTTATCTCTTATCTCTTGCTCGGTCGTGCGTCCAGAATCTGATCAAGGCCTACGACATTCAGCGCAGCTTCTTGCCACATCGAACAAAGAGCTACTCGCAGAGCGCCACACAGAGCTCTCAGCGCGATGGCGCGTCATCAAGGAGCGGTAAGAGGAAGGGGCGGCGGGGGTCAGACGAAGACGACGAAGAGGAAGAGGAAGAAGAGGAAGTGCGCAGGCCGCCAGCGAAGCATTCATCAACCGCGGCATCGAAAAGGGGCAAAGGCAAGCAGAAGGTCACATCGGAAGAGGAGGACGACGAAGAAGAGGAAGAGGAGCCCACACGCCACGCGCCAAAGAGGCGAAGGTGAGCCGACGCTCGCTTCAACCGCCGTGGTGTACTCCTTCTTGGCACCTGCCTCCCTCGGCCATAAAGTGACTGGGACTGCGGCGATTCGTGTAGAGCAAACACACGGCTTGGCGGCCAATTGGGGGTGGTCACTCTATCTCGTGTGCCTTGTGTGTTCCCGGCTTGTGCCTTTTCGGGCTTGGTTGGCCAGTGTCACCCTTCGTGTCTGCCTCTTCTCGTTCTCTGGAAACGAGCAGTTGATTCATATTCACTTCCACCTTCCCACACCATGAGCGCCGCCGGTACGTTCGCTTCCCTCGACTGTTCAGTGCCCGCGCCTCAGCTGTGGGCTGTGGTGACTCACAGAAACCCTGGTTTTCTCCAACGCCACACAGTCGACTGCTTTTTGCTGATCCTGGCCATCTTCATCCCGCCCGCTGCGGTGTTCCTCAAGCGCGGCTGCGACGTTCATCTGTTGCTCAACTTCTTGTTGTGGATATTTACTATCATCTTCGGTATCATCCACGCCTGGTGGGTCGTCCTCACAACCAAGGGCACTGTGTAATCACATTCATCTACGATGAAATTAAATTCGCACTGCACACCAAAAATTAAATTGTTGATTCTTCAGAAATATTTGTCACACTTTGGCTCCCAGCATTCACACTCCTTTGGTGGTGGTGTGCACACTGTCTGCTGGTTGAAGGTCACCACCTCTCTTTTGTTGACAAATCAATCACCCAAGAACCAAGTGTTCATGAAAAAGGGTCAGTGACCCTTTTTGCTTAGCACAAAAATCAAGTATCTGTACAAAAAAGGCCACCATTTGGCTGTTTTTCATGAGGTTACAGACTCCTCCATGCACAATCCCATTCTGTGTGCCTGTTGCAATCCCTCCAATTAGATTGTGAACCAACCTCTGTCCAGATCTGTCAAGCAGAAACAACACACCAAGCTTGGGTGGTGGTCAGAGAGGGAGGAGTAACAGGCTTGCATGTAAACAGCAGGCATAGCACTCAGGGCAGGAACAAACCAGGGCAGAGAAGAAGTAAAGCAGCTCTTATCTCTTCAGGTGAAACAACCTATGGACACCTAGGGTCCAATGTCGACTAACCATTTCCTTTTTATTTCTTGATCTTTGTATTTGTTCTCCCTTTTTTCTACGGGCCTTTCTCGGGTTTGCGGCCGTAACGGAATCGTCATCTTTCATCTTCATCCGGCATTAAACACAATGGAGGCACTGTCGAAGGCTGTGGACACCCTCTCCGCTCAGTTGCAGGAGAAGGACACCCTTCTGCGCAGCCTGCAGAGCCAACTGGCCGCCAAGGAGGGTTACATCTCCCAGCTCCACCAGGTCATCGTCTCGACCGGCGGTAAGGCGCCCGCCGCTCCCGCTGCTTCGCCTGCCGCCACCGATGCGGCTCCCGCCCTCTCGAAGAACCAGCTGAAGAAGCAGAAAAGGCAGCAGAAGCAGGAGGAGACCCCCGCTACGCCGGTTACGCCGCTCAAGGAGCAGCCCGCTCCCGCCAAGGAGGCCGTCCCTGCCACCACCCCCACCACGCCCGAGAGCGCCAAGAACAAGAGGAAGCGCGAGGCCACCAAGGGTACTGCTTCAATCCCTCATTCTTCTCATCTCCGTTTTTGTGATGAAATTATATAAATTGGAGATTGCAAATCTAATACAAAATTTGTGAACGTCATTTTGTTGGTTGCAGGTGCTGAGGCGAAGTCCACCCCGACCACGCCCACCAAGGAGTCTGCTGCCTCTCCTGCCAAGAAGAAGGAGACGCCCAAGAAGGAGGCTGTGACCAAGAAGGCCGAGACTCCGGCCAAGTCGCCTGCCAAGTACGCATTCCCTGCCACGGTGTGGCGTGACGCAACATACTCACCACCCACCGCGATCGGGTTCAACAGGGACAGCAAAAACGTGAAGGTGCTTAAGGGTGGTCTCAAGCTGGAGGACACCAAGCTGGGTGCCGGCAAGGTCGCCACTCTGGGCAAGCGGGTACTTGCACCTCTTCTGCGCGCCGCCTTGCCGCAATAGTAACAACCCGATCCCTGACGTCTCCTTGTGTCTATCCTCTAGGTCAGCGTGCTGTACAAGGGATTCCTCACGAACGGCAAGTCGTTTGACTCCTCCCTCAACAAGCCCTTTACCTTCCGTCTCGGCGTGGGTGAGGTGATCAAGGGTTGGGACGCCGGTGTCGCCGGCATGAAGGTGGGCGGCCGGAGGAAGCTTGTCATCCCCCCTGCTCTGGGTACGTCACATCGTCATCATCACCTTTTCCTCTGTGATCTTTCACACCAACAGAAATGGCCTCTTTTGCCTTGTTGACTAACGGTCATGGTCACCTTCACTACAACAGGTTACGGTAGGCAGTCGATGCCCGGCATTCCCGGCAACAGCACCCTCCTCTTCGAGGTCGAGCTCGTCGATGTCAAATGAGCGAAGAGGCACAACCGCAAGCACAAACCATTAAAATAAAATAAAATCAAAAAACGAAAACGAAAAAGAAACCCGCGCCTTTTTTACATTCCGATCATATATTTAGGGTTTATTTCTTTCATAAAGAGCTGTGGCGGAGGATGGACGACGTGAAGGGCTTCTTTCGCTTCATTATCAACTCGCCCAAGTATTCGGGGCAGGACCTGAAGGACTACTGGGTGAACGAGGGTCCCAAGGCCATTTTCGTGGTCGGCTGGCTGCTCATCAACGCGGGGCTCATGGTCGAAAGAGCGGTACACTATGCCAACCTCAGTCCAGGCCCCTATGACGTTTTTGGAGGCGCCCTCATCGGTACGCCATGCCCTTGCCACCACTCTTATTTATTTTATTTTGTTTTGTTTTCCCCTTTTAATCGAATCATTGCCAGTTCGACGAAGATGAACTGCCCCAGTGCCCTTTTTCTAAACGTTGTGTTGTGGGCGTGCTGCAGCGGCGAGAGCGAGCGCGGTGGCTATCAAGTTCAACATGGGGCTCCTCCTCATTCCGGTGCTCCGTAACTTTCTCTCCTATCTCCGGTACACTCACACTCGCCAAGCTCGTTCTCGCTGGTCCATTTGCACGTGCGGTCGTGTGGTGCGTGTGCGGTGTGTGCGGTGTGCGGTCGTGCCATATTCCAAACACGACGATTGACGCCTCTACTTTTGGGCGAATGTGCAGGGGTACGGTGGTGGGCACCTATCTGCCCATCGACAAGTCCATCGTTTTCCACAGGCGAATCGCTTGGGTACCAACTGCACAGCCCGGCCCCTCTTTCGAAAGGCCTCTGAACACCATCAATCGCTTACCACCTCAACGCCCCGACCACATTCTATCTGTGCTGCTACGTGTCACATGCAGATGATCGCATTCTTGACGATCGTTCACGCCACAGCCCACTACGTCAACTACAACACCACCGAGAACTACCCCAACATCATCGAGTACAAGGACCGGTACGCTTTACCGTGGCGCCACCACCTCGTTGGTGTGCGACTTTCTTTCTTCTTCGTCTCACATTTCACATCTTTCCGCATTCATCGCAAGGACGGGGTTCAAGGGCAATTCCCTGCCCACCACTTGGGAGTCGGCATGGACCACACTGGCCGGCACCACTGGTACGACGGCACACGCTCGGACCGCACACGCAGCTTTGTCAGCTTTGTCAGCGTTGTGCTCAATGGAGAGGGTGGTGGTGGCTGGGCCGTTGCAGGACACCTGGCGGTGTTGGTGATGATCCTGATCTACACGAGTGCCATGGAGAGCGTGCGTCGACCCTATTTCGAGGCCTTCTGGTTCACCCACCACCTGTTCGTCATCTGGTTCGGACTGCTCGTCGCCCACGGCGCCATGTCCAACCTCGAGACCACCACCGTTTGGGCCTGGATTGCCGGTACACGCCGCACAAGACGCACAAGACGCACGGTACATACTCGATTTTACGCGTTCGTTAACTCTGTGTTGGTGTATGCAGGTCCACTGCTGGTCTACCTGATCGAGCGCCTGGTTCGTCTGGTGCGCGGCAACCAGAACACCATCCTCCAAAAGCTCGTGGGCCATCCCTCGCGCGTACTCGGTACGCACACTCCGTCTCTCACTCATCGCACACACGGGCGCACCATCACATTCCCCCCGCCCCTCCTCTCTACGCGTGACCGCTATCACGTTGACGATTGTTCCTGGAAATGATTCAGAGCTGAGGATGAAGAAGTCGAGCTTCAAGTTCGAGGCGGCGCAGTATCTCTTCCTCAACTGTCCCTACATCTCCCGCAACGAGTGGCACCCGTTCACGATCTCCTCCGCGCCCGGTACACTTCACGCGTTCGACCTTAGGCCTTCCTCGGCCGAGGACATTCTTCTCATTCCTTGCGATGCCCCTCCACATCGTGATGACTTGATCAGAGGAGGACTTCGTGTCGGTGCACATCCGCGTGGTGGGCGACTGGACCGGCAAGATGGAGAAGCTCTTCAATCCCGAGCGCAACCTGGGCGTCGGTGCGATTTCTCATCATCGTCATCGTCATCTTCTTCTGGTTTCGCCCAGGTGCTCATGCTCACGTGTGTGTGCGGTGTGCGCGGTGTGTAGTGGCGGAAAATGTGCTCACGGCACCCAACGGAATGCCCATTCTTCGCATCGACGGCCCCTTCGGTACGGCCTCCACCGACATCTTCAAGTTCGAGACCGTCATGCTCATCGGCGCCGGCATCGGTACATTCCTTCCCCCCTCTCACTCCCCTCTTTACATGAAGAAGACTACTCACGTGCTCACATGCGTGTCGCTGTGCGCATCGAAAAGGCGTGACTCCGTTTGCCTCGATTTTGAAGACCATTCGCTTCCGCCTCGAAGCCGCGCTGCAGGACGGTGGTGTTGGGTCCAGGTACTCACTCAGTCGCCCAAACACCTCCACCTGCAGCTCCTAACTAACACGTGCGGTGGTGCGTGTGCGCGTGTGTGCGTGTGTGCGTGTGTGTTCGGGCGCAGTGACGGTCGGCTTCGTTCGGCGGCGCCGATTTCGGTGACCAAGGTGTACTTCTACCACATCGTGCGGGAGAAGAACGCGTTTGAGTGGTTCTTCGAGGTGCTGGTCGCGCTGGAGAACGACAACGTCAACAACTTCCTCGAAATCCACACCTATCTCACCTCCGTCAAGAGCCTCGACGAGGCCCGCCGTCTTGTTGGCGAAGACGGTACGCACTCACATGTCATGCGTGTGCGTGCGGTGCGTGCAGTTTAGGTTGCTGACTCAACGCGTTGTGTGTTCAGACGCCGCTGTGTTTGGCGACAGGGACCCCGTGACAGGCCTCCGCACTCCGGCGCACTACGGCCGGCCCAACTTCGACGAGATCTTCAGGACCGTCGCCGACCTGCACCCCGAGGAACACGTCGGCGTCTTCTTCTGTGGCCCGCACTCGTACGCGCGTCCCCGCCTTCGCTTTCCTGCCGTCCCCGCCTTCTTGACGTGCGTGCTTGACATGCCATGCCATGTCGTTCCAACAGGCTCTCCAAGCAGCTCTACGGCTTTGCGCGAAGGCAGTCGCGGGCGACCACCACCAAGTTCCACTACCACAAGGAGAACTTCTAAAACTGGCCTCTCTACGCCTGGTCCGGACCAGTCACCATCCACCATCTTTTTTCCTCGTCTTTGTGTAGATTATGTTTTCTTCTTCTGTTTCTTTATAAAAACCAATGCACAGTGTCCAGCAGTTGCCTTGGGTACTTCAATCATCGCTGAAGATCTCGACAACGGAGAGAACGGTGCCGACGCCCTTGAAGAAGGTGCCGGCGGCCTTGCCGGTGACCTTGGCAGCGCCCGCGCCAGCTTTCAGGCCCGCCTTGCCTGCTTTCAAGCTCGCCTTGCCGCTCTTGGTCATGAAACCGTCCCCTGCGTTTGACCACCACACGACACACACGACACACGACACACGACACACAGCACACGACACACGACACACACGACACACGACACACACGACACACACACCATTAGTTCAGGTCCTGGCTGCTGGCCAAGCCGCTTTGAGCGCAAAGCGAGGTACCCTTGACTCGAGAAACCGATGGAGAATGTGTGCCGCTGCTGCTGAAGGAAGAGGAGGATGAGGAGGAGGAATGGTAGTCCTGCGGCGCCGGAGCGGAATCCCGTGGCGGGTAGCCCTGCTCGTACTCCTCCTCGCCTCCTTCTCGCTCGAGCCCAAAGTCGAGCGCAGTCAAGGCCACCTGACCGATCAACCACCCAACATCAGAGACACGCGGGCACAAGTCATGCCACAAGCGGCTTGGCGCAGGCACACGTTAATTTGGCCGTGGTCGACGTTGTAGAGAGTGTGCCACTCTTGCTTCTCCACTCCTATGTACAGATCGTCCACCGGCAGGCTGATGTTGCCCAGCGAGTCGTCTACTCATGAAACAACGGTGCAGTGAATTGGCGTAAGCCAAACCGGGTGTGGGCAAAGTGAGTGGGTGTGCGGGGACCTGACGAGAGCATGTCCCAATCGTAGACGTGGAAGGTGACCTGGCGGTGGGTGGGCGTGGAGCCCAGCTCGAACTCGAACGACTCATTCCAGACCGGGTTCAACTGTGCGACCCGTTCCAGCCAATTAAACAGGTCGGTTGCTGCAATATGAAAAAAAGTTGCTCACCGAAAACGGAGAGGGAAGCACTTACGGTCTTCTTGATGGTGGCGGTCTTCTTGAAGTTCTTCTTCTCCTCCCCAGCCACCGCAATTACAACATACGGATCCGAGTACCCTGCACAATTGAACGAACGACTTAATGAAATTGGGAGGAGGCCGAAACAAAGAAAAGAACGAAGAGGAGGAGAGGAAAACAGCGAAAGACTTGTGCCGGGTCCGTACCGTTACTATCAGCGGAGACGAGGTTCTGCGCGCAAATCATACGAACGCGTACCTTACCCATTGTGTTAGCAAGTGTTGTGTGCTGTGGTTCAGAGAGTATGTTGGTCGTCGCACAAACAGGGAAGAACTCGTCAAGCTCGAAGCTGGTGATTGGCAGTTTGAACGCGTTTTTTGTTTCGATAGGACAACCGCACTGACCAATCCAGTGAGTAGCTCTGTCGAGAACCGGAAAGAAACTAGAAACTAACACGCGCAAGTGAACCAAATATTTGAATCTCACGGTGACGGGTTTGACTTGGCAACAAGTGGGTTTCCTTCACCTCTTCTCCTTGTGGAGGAACTGGAGGGCGAGGTAGGCCACGAGGAGGTAGAAGCCGGTCATGCCACTCAGCACGCCCACGTCGGTCCACACGCTGAGGCCCTCGGTGGTTTGGTCGATGATGGCCTTGCCCGGAATCCCGCCCACGACGCGTTCCACAAACTCGTTGTACACCAGCGCCTCGAAGCCGTACTGTAGCCATTCGTGCACCCCAGTGAGACACGCATCGCACACGACACCCATGACACACGCGACACGACACGACACGCACGACACGCAACACGAGGCACCAGAAGGAAAGGAGTTACCTTGATAAAGGAACTGTACTTGGCCCAGACATAGTAGTCTGGAATGGAGTTGGCGTTGATGTAGAACCCGGCGAAGATGAAGAAGAAGCCCAGGCACAAGGCCGTGACCACCTGCGCGATTTGTGTGCTTCCGGCCAAGTTACAGACCGCGAAGATCAACGCCTGTCGTGTCGTGTTGCGTGTCGTGTCATTCCGTGAGCATGTCTCATGCCAAGTGAAGAGAAGCAGTCGTATGCGGAAGGTACCTCGCCAGCCCATGAAGTCAGGAGCACGATGAAGACAAAGAAGAAGAAATGGTAGACCGGGGCGTCGCGCAGCCCCACCATCCAATAGATGATCGAACACTCTGTGTGTGTGTGTGTGTGTGTGTGTGTGTGTGTGTGTGTGTGTTAGCTCCGCCTGAGGAAGCAAAGCGCGTCAGAGGTAAAGAGACGCACCAACACAAACGAGCATGGCTAGCAGGGTGAAGCCTACGACCGTCTTGGAGATGAAGTAGGAGAATGCGTGGTACATTCCCGCTGCTCGTTCTCTGTGCGTTCGCCACAATAAGTTTCTGTGTCGGTCGCAGCGCACACAGGCACACAGGTACCACCGCACACGCACAGAGGGGGTAGGGCACCGGTTGTAGATGGAGCGCTGTTCGATGTACTGTGGCACGCTGCTGAAGGAGACGAAGGAGAGTAGAGCCACCGTCATGAAGAGCACGCCCAGCGTGTTCTGCACATACAGCGAGTTCTCGGAGATCTGGAACCAGATGGACCCTGTGCACACCCGCAGCGGGAACTCTGACTGGTAAGCCTCGCGCCATCGCCGCGGGCGGCAACCGCGTGCATGACAATTCACGCTGCAGTACATAAGGGCTCACGAACCGACGAGGAGGCCCATAACGATCTGTTGTCCGAATCGGGCGTAGAACAAGCTCGGATGCCGAATCATGAACAGCAACTCCCTGGGTGTTCATCATCATCATCATCAGTAAGTACATCATCATCATCAATACAAATGGTAAATAAATAAAGGGTACAAAAAATGAGTGTAGGGTTGTACCTGAGCAAGAGGACCCACATCTGCACGAAGATCGAGACGCCGTACTTTTCGATCTTGGTCAGGTTTTGCCTCTCCTGTCGGGGACGAACACACACGAGTGACGGTGAGAATGTGTGTGTGCACGTGCACCAAGCCACCGAAGTGGCGTTGTCCATGGACTGTGTGGCGTACGTAGTATTCGCGGCGGCTGTCGGTGTGTTCACGGGCCAAGTCCTTGGCGAGGCTCTCGTAGGCGGTCGACTTGAGGTAGATATCCGCCAGCTGCTCCGTGGAGGGCACCACCTCCTCGTATCGGCGCTCCTCCTATCGCCACCAGCCCCACTCCCAATCAGGCCCAGGCCCTGACCACGACCATTTGAGGACAAGGCTCGTCGTACCTCGTCCGCCGCAATCAGGAAGCCTTCTTCGTCATCTTCGCCAGCTTGCGTGGCAGCCGGGTCTTGCAGATAGTCCTCTGCACGACAGGCACACACAGCGCGGCACGACACGACACGCACGGCGCACGAATTAGTCACAGCCAGGGATATGAGGTGTGAAATGACGATGAGTACCCTGGACCGAGTGGTGAGAGGTGGGGGCGGGGGAGGAAGTGGTGGCCGAGCGCATACCCGCGATCTCGGCTGTCGGCTTGGCCTCGGCCGTCGCGGCATAGTCGTAGTGGTGCGGGTCGTGCTGGTCGCCCTCGAGGAGGTCCTTCCTGCGGGCGTGGAACGCAATGTCCAAAATGAAGTCCGCCGGGTTCGTGTGCAGTGGCGGCCTGATGCTGAGCTTCTCGAAGTAGTCCACCACGTGGGACGCCTGCAGACCACTCATGTTAGCACTCATGCGGTGTGTGTAGTGTGTGCGGTGTGTGTCGTGTGGCGTGTGCGGTCGTGTGATCGCGTGCCTTTCCAAAATAGAGGACGCGCCCTTGGGCAAGCAGCATGAGCTTGTCAAAGGCGCGGAACATGTGAGACGACGGCTGGTGGATCGTGCAGATGACAGTCCGCTGGGATCGCGCCGCCAGCCTCTAATAAAGGGGTGGATCGCACCCACCACCACAAACAAACCAACCCTTTTGTGAGTAACACAACGCGCGCAGACACTCATCGGCAGGCCGCGGTGCGACGACCCAATGTACCTTGAGCATCAGCACCAGGTTGGTGGCGCCGTGGCTGTCCAGTCCCGATGTGGGTTCGTCCTGCAGCACGTGCACGGTCACGCGGTTGAGCGTGGGCGTGGTGGATCAGAGGCGCGAGCGGTTCGAACGCACCAGAAAGAGGAGCGAAGGCGACGACACGAGCTCGAGCGCGATGGCGACCCGCTTCTGCTCGCCGCCGGAGATGCCCCTGTTGGCGGCGTTGCCCACCTTGGAGTGCGCGATGTGCTCCAAGCCAAGCTCCTTCATCACCTGCATGACATGGGCCGATCGACCATGTGTGTGTGTGTGTGTGTGTGTGTGTGTGTGTGTGTGTGTGTGTGTGTGTGTGTGTGTGTGTGTGTGTGTGTGTGTGTTGTGTGTTGTGTGTTGTGTGTTGTGTGTTGTGTCAAAGAGCGTGCATTCACACCAAACAGAGCTAAACGCGACTCAGAGACAATGAAGTCACGCACCTCGTCCACGCGGCGCTCCTTCTGCTCCGAGGTCATGCGGCTGGGCAGCTTCAGTCGCGCCGCGAACGACAGCGTCTCCCTCACCTTAGTAGCGGCAAATGAGTCAGGAGAAGAGGAGGAAGAAGTGGAAGAGAAAAAGAAGGTAACGTGTTACGGTCAGGGTGTCGAGCATGAGGTTGTCCTGCATCACGTAGCCGGAGATGCGGCGGAAGTAGCTCTGCTTCTGCACGGGCTGCCCATTGAGCCGCACCTCTCCGCTCAGCCGGCCTGCGACGACACAACCAACCCAAGGTCAGGAATCCCACCCAGATCGCCACATCAAGAGCAGCCAGCTATGAGGGTTGCCAACTTGGAGGGCAGTACCGCGGACACCACGAGAGGCCAACACGTCGAGCAGTGTGGTCTTGCCCGCACCTGCGTGGTCACGGCGAGTGGGTGAGAATGTGAGAAAGAAAGTCGGGGTGATTTTCTATTGGCCAAAAATGCGTGGTTCCCGGTCGCTCAACTTGGCCAATGATGTGGTGGACAGGTCAGGGTGAAGACTCGTCGTAATGAAGGGGAAGGTACCAGAGGCGCCCATGATGGCGCACAGTTCGCCCGGGTGTACGATGCCTTCGACTCCCCGCAGCAGTTGCTTCTCGTGGGCGCTGGCGGGATGGTGGTGCCCGCCGCGCTCGACGTCAGCGCCGCTGTAGGTCGCGTCGAGTCCCGGCGGACCTGCTGTTGCAGCAGCTCCTCCGGCGGACGAGCGCCACCGGGTGAGGCGGTGGTGAAGCGGGGCGGGGGTGGGGATGGAGTAGCGCAGGCCCTCCCAACTGAGTGTCACTCGTGGGAACCCAGCGTGCAGACCACCGCTTTCATCTGATGAGTTTGATGATGAAAAGAAGAAGATGCGCCGCCGACGTTGTTGTAGCGCTGCAATCCTCCGGCTGTGAGCAGGCGAGCCTCCTCGTCTTTGGCAGGGCCTGTGCTCCGTTGCATCTTTGTGCCTCTCTCCTCTTCCTGTCCTCCTTGTTGAATCTCTCCGGCCAAACAAGCGAGCCACGAAAAAGAACAATTCTAAAAAGAAATATTAAACTCACGAATGCTGACGTGGAAAGAACCATTTCGGAAACATTTCGAAATGTATTTCGAAACTATTTCGGAGATTGTTGATTTTCGCCCGCGTTGTGCCCGCGTTGCCTTCTGTTCGCTTTGCGATTGCCCAGTGGCCGGGGGCCACGCAAAGATTCGCATGTCTTCAGCAGGGAGTGGTGGTCTATGTTCGGTAAAACGCAAGACAACCAGTAGCGAAAAGGACGAAGCAAAGGTCGAGGCTGTAACGCTTGCCCAGCTTGCGCTTGGCTGGAGATGGAGGCGCTGCCCGACGAGCTGCACGTCCACATCTTTTCTTTTCTCACCGTGTTCGATCTATGCCGGTACGTCGGCCCCCCCTCATGATTTGCACCAACCTCTGATCGGATAGAGGCGCTGGGTGCAGCTTTACAAGAAGAAGGAATTGAATCCTCATGAAGCTCGTGTTGTTATTGATGGCACGTTGCACCTCAGATCTGTTGAGGCTGTGTGCCGGCAGTGGCAGCGACTGGCGGGCGAGGCGTCGCTGTGGCGCGGGCTGATGCTGGCCGACTGCCGCTCGCCCGGCCGCGTGCGCCAGGTGGTCGAGGCGGCGGCGCAGATCGGCTCCGACCACACGCAGCAGCAGCTGCTACTCCACCACAGCTCGCCGCACCTGCTGCCCTCGGTCCTCCACCCGGCGGCCTCCGCGTCGCCATCAAGCTCGCCGGCGTCGGGCTGGAAGGCGACCACTACTAGCGCGATGCCGCACTCTGGGCTGAAGCACTGGTACCGCCAGCTGCGAGCCGAGGAGCGCAACTGGGCCACCGGCCGGTATCGCACCTTGGACAACGAAGCCCTCCGGACCCGTACGCGATCGCCTCCCCCCCACACGACACACCGCACACACGGCACGCTGCACACGACACACGCGGCACGCGGCACACGACACACGGCGCTCACGTATGGCACTCATTCCTAAACTCGCCAACCCCAGAGAAACCACATCATCCTGGCGGATGCGAGTATGTCGATATCAGCGGGCGATACGTGGTGAGCGGTGGTTGGGACTTCGGACTCAAGGTTACATCTTCTGTCTCCCGCCGGGCTGTCCACGACATGGCCAATGGAGGCAACTAATCCATCGCATGCAACACGCAACACGCAACACGCAACACGCAACACGCAACACGCAACAGCAACACGCAACACGCAACACGACACCGGTGAGCACAGATCTATGACTTGCAGCAGCGCCAGGCGGAAGGTGACTCGGGCGACGCGAAGGACTCGTTGCACCTGCTGGAGCCTATAAAGCAGATACACAACGCGCACGCCGATGGTGTGCTGAGCGTCAAGATTGTCGGTGGTACGGGCCACTCGCTCAGCGAGATTCGATTCAATGGTAACACTCACACTTCTGCAGGTCAGTTCCTGTCGTGCAGCGAAGAGGCTATAGCGCTGTGGGACCTTGAATCAGGCGCGCTTCAGAAGACGTTCCAGATCGACGATGGGTCCTTCGTCTTCGCCGACATCGACAGACACGCTCGCTTTATCGCCGCAGGTGAGTCCGACATGAGGAATCAGGCTGGGAATTCTTAGGCCCGACTAGTACTCATGGCACACGACACGCGACACGCGACACGCGACACAACACGCGCACGACACATACGACACACGACACAACACGCGCACAGGCACGGAACAGGGACATTTGGTGGTTTGGAAAAGCGAAGGAGAACAGATGCTGAAGACGAGTTCCTGGAGAGAAGAGGAGAAGCGCGTCCACGAAGACAGCCACCTATCAATGATGGCCGCGGCAGAGGAGGACCTGTTCTCCTCCCACTCCTCCCCTCCGCCGCTCGATTTGATCTCATCGCCGCCGGGTTCTGTGAACCTCTTCCCTCCGTCCTTCTTCACCACCTCGCCCGCTTCGTTCATCTCACCACCGCCATCATCACCATCATCGCCATTGTCGCAACTATCATCATCACCAACTTCTGATAACGCGTCCAGCGCATCCTCGCCGCCGCGCTGGCGCAACCTGCAGCTGGTCCCCGCGCACACGAAGCGGACGAGAGTCGTCCACTTCCCCCGGTGGAGCGACGGCGAGCTGCTCGTGAGCGCCTCCTACGACGGCATGATCGCACTGTGGCGCACCGAATTCTTCTCCACCCACCACCACCACCACCACCACCAAGCAGTCGCGCCCTCATCGACCTCATCAGCGCACGGAAGCGAGCCGCGAGCGTTCTACCACGCATCGGACGTCGTGTGCCTCAGCTCCTCCGAGTCGGGTACCGCAAACTTGCCATGTTCACAAAGTTGACGGCAGAGCGCTGAGTGGGTGGGTGGTTGGTGATCAGACCCGCATCTCCTGTTCTCGGGTGGCTTCGATTGTGCGGCGAAGCTGTGGGATCTGCGCATGGCGGCCAGCCCGATCGCGCGGGCCAAGGGAGCGCCTCCCTCCTCAGCTATTGCTGGGTACGAGTGGAAGGACATCACCCGACGTTTGGCTGATTATAACATGTAAGCGCTCCAGCACTCGCACACACACAAAACACGCGACACACACACACTCACACACACTCACACACGACACAGACACGACACAGACACACACACAACACACACGACACACAACACACTCACACACAAGATATTGCTGACTCTGCGGCCACAGGATGCTACGACGACCGGAGTCAAACAAAGGATACTACACCACCACACTGGACTGTGACGACTGGAAGCTCATCGCCGGCGTGGGGCACCAGCTGTGGATTTGGGACAGGTAAGCCCAACCCCCGCAATACCACACACCACACACCTTGACGCCAGGCGGGACTCACTCACACCCCCGAGCATCCTCCGCCAGGCGAAAGTTGGGCGAGTGCATGTACACGATCGACGCGTGCAGTCCCGAAGAAGAAGTCTGGTACGTGATTGAGGCGGTCACCCCAAGACCTTCTTTCTTTGGAATGTGTCAATGGTTGTTGATGTTCACCACGGTTCGGTGTGCGCGTTAGGAGTGCGCGAGCGTGGGGTCCCCACTTGGTGACGGGATCGCGGGACGGCTACGTGCGCCTTATCGACTTCTCCCGCTCCTGAAGAAAGAAGTAGTCAAGTGGGTTGGCTGAGGTGCTCCTTCCCTGTGGCTTGCTTTGGGCTCATCATCGGCTGAATGACAAACAAGGCTTCTTTTCTCTTTGCTTTGCTGCTCAGTTCTTCTCCGTTTGTTTCCTTTTGCTTCGGCGGATCTCTGGCGGAGTTCTGCGGAAAACGACGACGGCAGCTTCTGCTGACCACGAGTTGCTGTCCGACCACCAGCCAATCAGGAGAGTAGAAGTAAGGGCTGGCCAACAGGCACACGGCGTTCTGCGGTTGGTTTCCGTCACTGCCAACGCCCCCAGCTCACTGCCGTCGTTTTTTAACTCCTGTGTAGCCGGTCGCACAGGGCGACCACTACGGAGAGAGAAGGCAACTCCTTCGGTCTCCGCGCCGCCTCATAAAAGGGGCCAGCCCTGGTCTTTGTTGATCATCATCATCATCACCACCCGCTCTCTCTCCAACACCAACCGCAACCAAAACGCACTTGAACTGTTCTATCTGGTACGCAACACACTGCCTTACCTGATCACCCAAGTCTTGGTCTTCTTTTTGTTGTTCGTAGCTGATCATCCTCAACTTCATCTTCATCATCATGCAGACTTTATTCTAGATATGAACGGTCAAGCTTGGTTGATGTGGGCGTGCGCCCTTGCTCTCTCCGTCGTCGTCTTCATGAGCGCGCCCGCCGTGGGCCAGTCCTGCTACGCGCCCACCGCGCTCAACTTCACCTCCGAGGCCGGCAAGCTGTGGGTCAACGGCCAGCGCTACCACCTCAAGGGCACCTCGTGGTTCGGCTTCGAGACCGCGGCCTGCACCGTGCACGGCCTGTGGGCCAACTCCTACACCTTCTTCCTCGACTTCCTGGCCGCGCAGGGCTTCAACGCCATCCGCCTGCCGTTCCACCTCGAGCTGGTGCTCAACGAGAAGTCGCCCAACGGCATCAACTACGGCGCCGGCGCCAACGCCGACCTGCAGGGCCTCAACTCCCTCCAGGTCATGGACAAGATCGTCCAGGCCGCCGCCGCCCGCGGGCTGCTTATCATGCTCGACCTCCACTCCTTCGCGCCCGACCAGTTCATGTCCGACGGCATGTGGTACAACGGAGCCAACCCCGAGTCCAAGGTCATCGCCGGCTGGACCAAGCTGCTCCAGCGCTACAAGAACCAGTGGAACGTGATCGCGGCCGATCTCAAGAACGAGCCGCACACCTCGACCTGGGGCACCGGCAACCCCAACACCGACTGGAACCTGGGCGCGGCCCGCCTGGCCGACGCCATCGCCAGCGCCGTGAGCGACCGCTTCCTCATGTTCGTCGAGGGCGTGTCCAACTCGCCGCCGTGCCGCGAGAACTGCTTCTGGGGCGAGAACCTGACCGGCGCCCGCACCAACCCCGTCGTGATCGCCAACCCGGCCAAGCTGGTCTACTCGCCCCACGTCTACGGCCCCAACGTGTTCGGCCAGTCCTACTTCTCGGCCGGCAACTTCCCCGCCAACATGCCCGCCATCTGGGAGGACCACTGGGGCTTCATCCCCGCCGCCACCGGCCGCGCCTTCGTCATCGGCGAGTGGGGCGGCCCGTTCAGCGGCAAGGACCAGGTCTGGATGGAGGCCCTGGTGGCCTACCTCAAGGCCAAGGACTCGACCGACCAGTTCTTCTGGTGCCTCAACCCCAACTCGGGCGACACCGGCGGCCTCCTGAAGAACGACTGGAGCTCGCCCGAGTCGGGCAAGCTGGCCCTCCTGGCCAACCTCGTCTCCGCCCCGACCAAGTTCTCGGTCAACGCCCAGGGTCTGGTGTGCCTCAACGGCGCCACGGGACCTGCCCAGCCCTCGGCCTCGTCTTCGCCCGCCGCGCCCAAGCCCTCGGCCTCGTCTTCGCCCGCCGCGCCCAAGCCATCGGCTTCGTCGTCGCCCGCCGCACCCAAGCCCTCGGCCTCATCGTCGCCCGCGGCGGCCAAGCCCTCGGCCTCGTCTTCGCCCGCCGCACCCAAGGCCTCGGCCTCGTCGTCGCCGGCTGCGGCCAAGCCGTCGGCTTCTTCTTCGCCCGCCGCGCCCAAGCCCTCGGCCTCGTCGTCGCCCGCTGCCCCGTCCACACCGACTTCAGCTTTTTCGCTGGCACGAGCGCGTGGTGGCTCGCTGTGACGATCCCCGGCTCGACGTCAGCCTCGCTGGACTGCGGCAACGGCCAGGGCCTGGTGGAGATGACTCCGGCTTGGCTGCCCAACATGTGGACCTTCGCGTCGACCAACGGCCAGGCCTGCAAGTCGACCCTCACCTTCGTCGTCAACGGCGGCGCTCCCCAGACCGTCACCGCGCCCTGGGCTTGAAGAAGACCGCCTCTGTTCTCTTCTCTCTTCTTTCCTTCTTGGTTGTAATCTATGATCCTACCAACATAAAAACTCTGTAATTAATATACTCACATCAGCATCTCCCACCAACAACATCACACAATCGGCCTTGCATCCAAGTTGCACGTCAACAGATGAAGTGGGCCAATGATGTTATTGCGTTGATGTTCTCAAGATGGATTGGTATGTACAGAGAGAACCTGTTGTGTGATTCAGCACGATCAGTCGTCCATGGTGAAGACGGCGCCGTGATCTTTGCCGCCGCGCGCGTGTTGTCGTCTTGCTGGTCAAAATCGTCGAGGGTGATGGTGGGCAGGCTCCGCTCGCCCTTCAGCAGCACATTGTCGCCTGGCGTACGGTTCAGTTCCACGTTGAAGTGTGGAATCGAGTTGATGCCCTGTGTGCGTGTGCGTGTGCGTGTGCGTGTGCGTGTGCGTGTGCGTGTGCGTGTGCGTGTGTCGCGTCAAACTCTCGGGGCGAGTGGTGATGAATGAGCAGCGCGAAGAGAGCGTACCTCGTAGAGTGGGGTCCATCCCTCGGGAGGAGAGGGCGGAGGACTGAGAAGGAACATCTTTTCGGGTGCCGGTGGCGCCAGATGGAAGTTGCGGACCGTCTCACGATCCGCTCCCTGCACACATTATTTGGTCGAAATAATACAAAATAATTATATGAGTAAATAATGTCTATATTTATTAAAAAAAGAAAATGATAATAAAATAATATTTGGGCAGATAGGCCGTACCAGGCCGTAGTGTGCTTCGAAGCCGGCCTCTTCCACGCTCCTCTTGGCGGTTGTGGCATCTGAATCAATGAAAAAAGAAAATAAAACAGATTATGACTGACTGACCGAGAACAAAAGGATGCAGCTTGGCGTGGTGAATAGAGAAATCAAACCTTCGATGGAGCCGAAGATGGCCACGGTACGCTGCAGCTCGCCATAGGTCTTGAGGAAGAGTACTTCGCCTGCACGCTCCAACCTCTGCCGCATGTCCAGCACTGCTGCCGCCGCTGCCACGGCATCGCGATCACTGGTCCTCATGCTCACGATGAGCTGGTTCGTTGGTGTTCCTTCCATCTTTCTGTTTTTGAGATCTCAATTATTTTTTGTGATTGAAAAAAAAGCTGTTTTGCTCGCATTCTTCAAATAATTTTGGATATCCCTTCATGACGTTCAAAATACCGACTGGGCGGCAGCACAAAATGCCCGCAGCCCGCAAGCTGCGCGGACGAGAAGGCCAACTCTTGGCGGCCTTCGCTGCGGCCCGCAACCGCCAGCGGGCGCAAGCAAGCTACGCTGGCACCGCTCGTTGGCATTGCTCGATAACTAAACTCTCAACTAAAGAGGTCTGACCAGCATTGCCGCATTGCACGTCGATGGCCTGGCTGCAACGTTGTGCGCTGCTGGTGACGTCCCTCGTGCTGGCGTTCGGTCTCACATCAACACAAGCAGACTGCCAGGTCTACGTGGAGGTGTTTGACAACATCGACTGCACCGACGACTTCTCGGCCTCGGCCTGGCCTCACGCAAGAGAAGAAGATCAGGAAGGAGATGACGAGCAGAAACGACAGAGAGCAGGCCGAGAAGGCGAAGAAGAACGAGGAAGAACGACGCACCACCCAAGACGCGACAGGGCCGAGAAGGAAGGGCAGGGCCACACGAGGCGTGGTTCGAGCGGGTGGGGTGTGCCACGCTGAGCCAGGGGTGCAACAGGCTGACGATGATGTCGGGCTACTACCTCCTCCGGGTCGACTGCTCGGCGCGCTCGGTGGGTTTCGTCGGCGACGACGCGTGTGCGGGTCCGGCCACTGTAGAGTGGGGCGGCAACTCGTCGACTGCGTGCGGGAGCATCGCGCCGACGCTCTCGTTCCGCACCACCTTCCTCTCTTCTTCTTCTACTCCGCCCTCGTCGCCAGATCCGCTTCCGACGAACACCCCAGTACATTCAATCTCGCTGGACGACTGCTCGGCGGCGCCCGCTTCGTGGCTTCTTTTGCGACGACATCTCACAAGCGAAGTCCTTGTCGTTCTCCTTCTCTTTTCTCTCTTCCTGTTCTCTCTCCTTTGATTTGACTCAAACCCTCTTTGCTTTGCCTTGACACTGCGACAGCTGCGCTAAGCTGAATGTACACACGCACGCGTATGCAGCTACGCGTGAGCACCATAAATTAGTAGTATAACATCAAACGATGAACCTGAGCCGTGCGAACCTACGTCGGGCCTTGCAGGCCGAGAGCGGGCAGGAGGTCGGAGAGATTGTGGAGTATGTCGGCTGGGGGCACCTGCGCTGCCTTCTCCAATGCGACCGCGTCTCGGCACATAAGGAACGCGCGGCTCAGCCCGGCATCCTAGGTCCGCGTCCAATGGAAAGAGAGTCTTAGACTGAGGTTGAGGAAACTATGATAGATCTGATGTCTTACCTTGGCCCCACGGTAGTCTTTTTTGTAGTCGTCGCCGACGTGGACGGCCTCGCTGCCCTCGACGTTGGCCTTCCGCAGGGCTTGGTAGAAGATATCGGGGTCGGGCTTGGCTACGCCAGCGTAGCACGACGGCAGCACCACGTCAAACAAGTGGTCCAGGCCCAGATTTTTCAAGAGGAGCGGCTGGATGAATGGAGTACTTGATGAGTCCTTTGTCGTGCCAAGAGCGGGGAGGAGTACCAGACGTTCATCGAAGTTGGAGACTACCGCCACCTTGATGCCGTTACTCCGTAGCGTCTGTAGCATAAGGGAGGTGAGCCGTACAATCCTCATACGCTCAGCTTGACTCATGTGTACATGTACCTTGATCACCGGCTCAGTCTCTGGGAACACCTCCCACGCCTCAGCCCTGGTGAAGTCGTGCCACACCTGGTCGAAGAGCTTGGGGAAGACGTCGGCGGCGAACTCTGGGTGGTCACGCAGGGCGGGTACGGGCCTGGTCAGCAGATCGAGCAAGCAGCAAGGCAGGAGAGGCTGCACCTTCAGAGTGGCTGAGCTCGGGCCTGGCATGGGCCAGTGTGGCGCCGAAAAGAGAGGACCACCAATTGTAGGAGGAGAGCTCAGTCCCATGCCCGAAGTTGGGGTGTCGCACGTTGTGATCGCGCCAGGCCGCGAAGAAGCCGCGAGTCAGCGATGCCGGCCGCAGACCGTGAACACCAAACGCCTCGGCAGCTCGGGCCTGCTTCACCCGTTATTAATCTGCCCCCCCACGAAAAAAGCGGTGGCAAGGAGAACGCACATAGGCCTCGCCAACAGAGCCGCGAACGCGAAACAGAGTGCCGGTTGCATCGAGCGATACCAGCTTCGGCCGCACTTGCATCTTTTTTTTTCTTTTTCTTTTGTTTATTTTTTCGAGGGTTTCTTTTTTTCCACCTGCGTTGCCGGATTTTACTTCTGCTGACGCGGCCCAATCCCGGTGGTGCATCGTCAGGGGAAAAAACCTCAGGCGCAGGCTGTCACGTGCCTGGATGACGATCCACCGAAGAGCAGATAAAGGAGGGCAACCACTTTCGCATGAAGAAACAATCCACCAACTTGCATGATGCAACAATTCACCAACGTCAAGCTTCGGACTTTGAGCAGGAACGGTGGACCCACGCGGTGCCGACACCTGAGGGGCGCACTGAGACTGCTGGCAAGTCCTGCGACGAAGAAACCCGATCGAGGAAGCGCAGGAGGAATGCGGTGGAGGTTACACATGCTCCGTACTCGAGTGAGCCACAGGCAGGCAAGAGAAGATCCGAAAGCTGGCACAAGATTGGCTCAACTGACAATGGGTACCGCCCAGCAAAACAGCAATGTTGATGAAGGTCACTCAAGAACCAATAATGAATGTGCAGCAGCATGTATCTGTACTGCAGCGCAGTGTCCCCCGTCGGTGATTTCAAAGTGTTCTTTCAGCAGTACGCTCACTTCAGCTTACTCCGACCATTACGCTCCGACTAACCTTACCCTCCGGCAGTCGTTTAGGCAATTTGGACCGCTCCGGACTCCAAGCGTTGATCTCCAGTCCGTACCTTCGCCAGCGACAGTCGAGTCAGGACGTGGAGGTACGATCCCCTGTGATGGTACGCCAGCTTGGCGTCTGTCCTGACGCGTCTCCAGGATGGAACAGTGTTTCATTGCTCCGCTACCAGGAAGGGGACTGGCCCCATCGATGTGAGCCTCGTTAAAGCCCCTAATCTAACCTGCTACCACATCGCCTCCCAGCCTGTCAACTTCTACACACACCAGACCCAAGCGCCTTGTGGTTTGATCACCCTCCATCCAGACTTCCCTCCGCCGCCATGCTCATTCTCTTCTTTCCAAACGTCCAGCCTCCAAGCTGCGCCTTAAGTACGTGTTCCTGGTTGGCTCCAAGTTGGTGCTAGTGGGTGAGTTCCCCAAAAAGGTCGCCAGCACGCGAGTGGTGGAATGTGTGATTCAGGGCTCCAGTGGTACTGACCTTCCTAGTGATTGAGATTTGACGTAAGGACTCTCAACTGATGCAAGCGTTGAAACAGGTGCGGAGGTGATAGAGGTTCCCAAGAGCTCTTCCACGTGGACAAGACAGATGATCACACTAAAGCTGCCCCCGACGTGGGACCTGCCTCTGGACCCGAGCGCCCACATTCGGTACACATTCCACGACCACACGAGGGCCACCTCCGAGGCGAGGCCCATCCACCTCACTCTTGAATTGTAGGCTTGCCTGGCTTCCATCTTGTACATAAATGTAACTCCTTCTATCGAGGTGCTCAACCGCAAGCAATCGGTTCATGGCTCATCAACTTTGGGGAGCTTGGGCTTCTCTCCTGAAAGGTCAGCGAAAGGGCCACCATGATTATGGTGGGTTCGCGGTCGACAATTCCAAACGCAACGCCCACGCACCTGTTGTGATCGAAACTCGAGAACTAGTAGATCCGCAAGAGTGATCTGGTTAATCTTCTTTCGGCCGTGGCGCACCAGAAGAAAGAGGAGCAAAGAGGAACCAGGGCTGCGGCTGCTTCGAATTGCCGGCAAACGTAAAATCGATTTAATTGAGGAAATGGACAGCTGGACATCTCTGCAGCATCCTGCGAGGAGAGACTCCCACAGGGAGGAGAGCACAAGAAGAGACTCAAACACTAAGCAGGGCCTCTCCTTTCATCCGATTTTCTCGGGAGGCAAGCAAATCAACGCATTCGCTGTTGATCGAAGCGCGCACTACGTTGCCGTGGGCGGGTACTCTTCTCTGCAGCTTGTTGGCTCCTACCCCATCCCTTCCTCCCATCTGGCCTGCTCTGCCGAAGTCTCTTCCCCATTTTCATTACATCGTAAAAGGGCTTACACGTTTCCCCTCCTCGGTGGCACAATAGGACGTCGCTGCACCTATGGGACCTTGACGTGGCCAAAGAGAGGGAGAAGGAGGAGAAGCAATATGTGCACGTGCCTAACAGGTATGGGCCTTGCCAGAGTGATGTGTCTTCCGGCATTGCAGACCGCTAACTCTCCTATTCGATTACCACAGCCGCGCGACTAGCGCTGCCTACTCTGTTCTCCGGTGGAACCCACACCACTCGACCCTGGCATCTTCGGTACGTCGCGCCATCGCAAGGGCTCGTCAACGTGTGCGTACGGTTCCCCGAGTATGAGCTCCGGACTGACATCGCTCTCAGGTAGGTACGGTGGTCTCGGTGTGGAAGCTGGACGACCGCACGGGCAACCTCAATCCTCACTTGACTATTAAGGGAGCACACAAGCGGTACCGCTCTCTGTTCGCCTCGTAGTTCTATAGCAGCGAACAAGGTGTGAGCTCACTCTGCTTCCCTGAATGCACCTGCGTATGGCAGAGCGATCACGGACCTTGCGTGGTCCCCGTTCAAGCAGCACACGCTCGCATCTCGCTCTGCAGATGCCGAGATACCCATTTGGGATGTGCGCACGAAGACCCTCAAAGTACACTGCCTACAGGGCCAACCGGGTACCGTTACGCCCTCAGCATCAAACTGACGAATGAGAACCTGTAATCTAAAACGTGGCTCTATTGTCTCTCTGCAGGCCCGGGTTTCATCAAGTGGAACAGGCTCAATTCTTCGCTCGTCGCATCCACTCACAACCGCGAAGTTCGGATATGGGATTTGCGGGTACACCTCCTCTGCTGCGCGTTTGGCTCAGTATGACTTTGCTTGCCTCTCATCTCTTTCCTTTTCTCCGCACCAAAGAAAACGTCGGCACCGACAGTCACGATAACTGGGCACACGGCCGACGTATCGGACATCGATTGGGCGCACTGCAACGAAAGCCGCCTCCTCACTGCCTCGCACGATAGCACAATCAAGGCACGAGAGTACTCTATATTGCCCTCGCCATGCGATCTTCTCATGTTCAGTTAAATGGTCGACCACAGATCTGGGATATCTACGAGCCGAGAACAGAGAAGGAGAAGATTCGCACAGGAATGCCGGTCGCATGTGCCCAGTTCACCGTACGTGTATCTTTCTTTTAATATTGCTCGAGTTGAAAGATTGATGACGGCACGTCGACGCCCGGGCGCTCATGCTCACGAACCATTGTGGTCGTGTCTGCAGCCGTTCGGTGAAGGCGTGCTCACAGTGGGCCGAGGGGAGCGATGTATGCAGCTGTGGAGCCTCTACGACCATCTCACCCCCATCTACTCGTTCCAAGGACACTCCGAGACCATCGAATCTTTCGAGTGGAGGTACGAGCAACCGGTACAACCTGGGCATGAAAGTGTGCTAATGATTCGAACCGTTGTTGGGTGACGCCGCCAGTGTCAAGGAGTCTACGAAAACAAACAGCCAGACCTACGGGCTCGTATCATTGGCCAAAGATTTCACCTTGAACGTGTGGTCCGTGCCCAAGTCGCTCCAGGTATGCGCCTATCCGCATTCCTTCCCAGATTCACAAGCTTGTGGAGGTTGTTGACGCACTCCTTGGGCCCACGCATGGCAACAAGAACCTCTGCAAGTTTCCGTCGACGTCGCGCAGCCAAGCCGAGCAATCGAAGACGCGCTCAGAGGAGCAGGAGGGCCGTCGCGCCGCCAGTGATGGCGAAGATGAAGATGAGGAAACCAAGAAAAATCTCAAGCGGCGCGCGAGCTACAGCCACGTCGACTCTGCCAGCAGCTCCCTCGGCGAAACTGAGGTTCTCTCTCCTTCGTCTCCCTTGTCGATCGTGCCATCTCAGTCAGTGAACCAGTACGGAGGCAAGCTCGATCTGAAGCACGAGCTGAGCATGATTTCCCAAAAGATGAGTGGTACGTCCATATGCGAGTGCGGCCGTGTGTATTTATTTTTAACCATTTTTTCTTCCCAATCAACGATAGATGTTGAGGATGTGACAATCGAGTCGGCCAATCCCATCAACCGGTGCTGTACAGTCGTGCTCTACGACCTGCCGGCGACTGGTCTCCCATCGATGTCCCCATCCACTCGGCAGCCCTCGCCACGAACGCCAAGCAAGAGTACCTCGCGCGAGAACAGCAACGCTGATTCTGGTTCGACCAGCGCTCCCGCTAGTCGGGAAAGCTCAGCTGCTAGCATAGAAAGCGGTACGCCCTGTCTGCCATGCGCGCGGTGGTGGTGTAGCTGGTCACTCATTCCCCGCCGCCGCCATTTCCCCCGTGCTTCTGCAGGCATGGCCGAGGACATGATCAAGCAGGAAGAGGCCAAGGCGGAACGGAAGGTGCTGATTCGGATGCAGATTGCGTTCCCGAGCTTCTACCCGCACGCTCAGCCCTCGTTCACGTACCTTCCCGGAACGACGATCGACCAAGAGCGACAGATTCTGCTGAAGAGGGTACGGGGAAGAAGCCTACATTGCCCTCGCCTCGGTTTGATTTGTTTGATTCTCATTCGCTTCCACTCGTTCCTTCTGCAGACATTGGCCCACATCGCAACGTTCTATTCGATGCGCGGCCACCCGTGCCTGCAGAAGCTGGTGATGAAACTCGTCAATCTGCAGCGATCGCTCGATGCCGAGGTCAAACTCGAACAGCTGCAGAAGCAGGTGAGCACAAGCCGATCATCATGATTTGTTAAGTGTGTTTGCAATTCAAAGAACGCTAACGAAACATCGTGTATTGTTCAGATCGTGATGGACCAGCAGAAGGAGGTGCACGAGACGGTTAGCGAAGGCCAACAGAGCCCAGAGGGTACGACGGAAGTCCCTCGGCCGCCGGACGTTGCAATCGCCGCGGAATCAGCCACCCGGGAGGAAGTGGTTGCCGGGATTGAAAAGGAGGCGGCAGCTGCCCCAGCCGCGCACATGGCCGGCAGCACCCAGGCCCGTCGACAGCGTAGCCCCTCGCTAACCATCTGGAACAAATTCTGGGCCATTGTTGGGCCTGACGACCAGGTACCTCCCTGCCCTCGAGTGCGTTGAATCAGCCTTCTGCTCACCACCAATTGCTTGAATTCCAGGAGACCGAAGCGGACCCCACCAAAACGGACACCGACGGGCCGGCTGCCACCGGTCAAGTCGAACAGAGGCAACAGAGGCCTGACGAATCGCACCCGTCGCCACTGCCAAAGGCGCACGAAAATGAGGACAAGGAGAACGTCGAGGAGACGCACAAGCCCATGTGGATCCCCGGCAAAACGAAGAACGCGCTGTTTGGGTACACCTTCGCGTTCAACCCCCCCCCTATTAGTTCTTTATTATTCATCTATTTTATTTTTTTTTGTTGAGCGTCATCTCACACTGCTGCCGCCTTCCTTCGATTCCCAGCAACGTCCAAACGAGCGAGCCCGGACATTGGCGAGCGAAAGTGGACGACCATGCACGTCAGGTACGCCTCACGTTCAACCGCTCAAGGCCAAGCCCGCCGGCGCGGCGACCCATTCTCACACGGCCGCGGTAACGCGTGTATATACCTGTGTTAGGTGGCAGTCACGCCCTTCGTGGGTTCATTCCGCGCCGCTGCTCCACTCGCCACCCTTCCACGTACGCCGGCCATGGGTGGAGTTTCGCCTTTCGAGCTAGTTTCTCACAACGTTGGCTCACCACGCTCACACATGTAACAGGTGAACCGAGCCCGACGAAAGCTCCGTCGGCTGCTGCTACAATGGTGCGCAACCAGAGCTTGGAGATGCTGATCGGCTCGCTCGACGTCGAGATGAGCCACACCTCCAACCTCCTCAGCCAAAGCGACTTCCAAAAGGTACAGGACCCTGCGCCCACCAATCATGAAACTGTTGAACAGTTGATCCCCAGCTCAACTGACCCACAACCCATCCATGTGTGGCATGTGTGGCGTGTGGCGACAACAGCTCGTGGTGCGGCTTCCTCCTCGCTTCCAGTTCCGAGACTGGGAACTGCTCTACAGCACCATGGAACACGGAATCTCGCTCCACACGTACACCTCCATTTTACTTATTGTGCCACCACACGCACAGCGCTCATTCATGATGTGTTGTGTGCAGATTCTATCGTCGGGTGCGTCGCACAGCCCTACGGTCATTATCATTGAGGACAGCAAGAAATACGTACGACGCCTTTTCTGCCGGCGGGGCCTTTGATTGGGGACTGAATGGCAATGTGGCCAACTCCACCAGGTGTTTGGCGCGTTTGTAACCGGCACGTGGGACGCTCTGGGCAAGTACTCCGGCACTGGCGAGAGCTTCCTGTTCACGTTATCGCCCTACTTCAAGGTGCGAGGCGCTCTGCCTGTTGCTCGCTCTCTCTCTCTCTCTCTCTCAATCTGTCAGAGAGATCTCCACCAGGTGGTCTCTCTCCCCCCCTTCTTGTCTCTTATGTACTTCGTGTGCTTCTTTGGATGAGCAGGTGTTCCCTTGGACAAGAGCAAACTCACTCTTTATGTGCGGCGCGCCTCACTCGATGAGTATCGGCGGAGGGTACACACGACACACAGACACACGCGACACATGACACGCACGGTACTCGCCGCGGTGAACACTAATTCTGTGCTCCCCATCATCCCAGGTCGCATGTGGGGCTGTGGCTCGATGAGGACTTCGAATTCGGCAGCTCGTGCCCGTGCGAGACGTACGGCAACGAGTGCCTGGCCTCCGGTCGCGACTTTGATTGCGTGGTACTCGAAGCCTGGGGCCTCTGAACAGATTCACACCATTTTACCCGCTGTACACTCCCACCTCGGTTCCCCGAGCGACCAACGTCGATCAACTCGTCCCGGCCAGGCAATGGTGTGGCGCGCCCGCGTTAGAAGTCTTCTTCGCTGTACATGGGGTTGAGGAAGACGGCGCTGTTGCTGCCGTTGCTGCCGGGGCCACTGCTGTTGATGATGCTGGGTGGTGGCGGTGCGGCGCCGATGGTTGAAGAGGAGGAGAAGGGGTTGTGCGATCTGCGCGGCAGGGAGAGGTGGCCGTTGCCCCACAGGACGCTGTCGGCCGGCATCGCCGCCGCTCGCGCTCGGCCCGACGAGGGGCGGTCCGCCGTCCGACTCACCGGCCGAGTCCTGAATTAGAATTTAAAAAAGAATAAGAAAATATTAAAAAAGAAAAGAAAATAAAGAAATAGAGAGTGGTCACGTACGAGAAGCGCACGGAGCTGACGTGGAGAGGCGAGGGAGCTGCGGCTGAAGGTGGTGGTTCGGTCAGGTGGATGCTCTCGCTGCGGTCGCGCTCGTTTTGCTCGGTGGTGCGCTGGTGGCGTTGATGGGCGGAGAAGAGCGGCGGGAGCTCGTCGAGGAAGGAGAAGGGGCTGGCCCGCTCCTGTTTGCGCCGGCGGTAGCAGGCGTGGATCGCCACCGCAGCCATGATGGTGGGCACCACGCCCAGCAGGAAGCCCCCGATCGGCACCGCGATGCACACCACCTGCAGCCCCCGTGATGATGGCCAGTCAGCGCACACGCACACGCACCACCGCACACACGACCGCACACGCACACTGCAGGGAGTCGAGGGCAGTCTACGCACCACCATGTCGCCGCAGATGCCCGCAGAATCATCACTTGATGACTCGCCGGTCGATTCGACGGCCAGGAACTGGTAGCGAGCCTGCGTTTCTTCAGAGGGCAGAAGCCACGCTGCGACTCCCGGTGGAGGAAACACCCGCGCACGAATCGTGGTCGTTCGCCACACAACTGGAGCCGCACACACACACACGCACACACGCACGACACGATGAGAAGTGCCACGCGGCAAGAAAGCTGGACCGGAAAGAGGTACCGAGCTGGGTGTCGTTGGTGAAGATCAGGGAGGCGTTGGTGACGGCGGACCCGTCGAGCGTGTAGCGAAGGGTGAGCGCGTCGGTGACGTTCCGCGGGTAGTAGAGGGCCACGCGCACGGGATTGGCGAGCGCAGAGCCGGCCGAGGGCGCCGGCAGCAACGAGGGCGGCAGAAGCTGTGGTCCGTGCCCGCGCGCGAGTGTCACAGCGAAGTCTATTCAGCGGTCAAACCAAGGGAACCACGCACCTGCGGATAGAGCGTGAAGGACTGTTGTACAGTTTGGCTGGGGGTGAACCCAGAACGCTCCACACGCGCTGATACCTGCGCGACGAGACATGATTCATCAATTAGATGCCACAACACACGCGCACGACACGACACGACCAACGACCAACGACACGACACACGCGCACGACACGACACACAGACGAGTGGCCATACCGTGTAGTTTTCGTACATCGGATAGGCGGGAGATAGGGTGGGATGGAACATCAGCGTTGATACGCGCGTCGTGCCTGTGGTCATCAACGTGACACGCACATGGGCAAAGTCTGTGGAGACGACACACGCGACACACGCGAGCGTAAGGCCAAAGGGGCGTAGAGGGTACGGAAAGGTGCTGTACCGTAGACGTCGGCGTTGAACTCGCGCGTTGCGACCGAGGGTACGGCGAAGGAGAGGGCGGTGCCGTTGGGCAGCTGGCTGCCGGCGGCCACGCCCGTGGTGGAGATGACGGGTGGGTCCAGCGCCACACTCGCCGGCACGCACAGCGCGGCCCCGGCCGGCACGTACCCCGAGTGGCATAGGCAGTGCTGCGCGAAGTAGGTCAGTCGTTGAATGAATCGCTGCAGCGAACCCGATTGGTTGACACCCCTTCGATCGAAATTGTAATGTTAAAAAAACCGGACCTTGACGCTGGTGCGAGGCGCGTTGGAGATGGTGGAGTGGGCGGGACATGCGGCGCAGGACAGCGAGCCGAGCGACTGGGTCGGAGTCATCTGGGTAATGACCAAGAAAGAACGAATAAGAGTTGAGAAAGCGAAAAAAAGAGAGAAACGCGAAGGGGAGCCCTTCTCCGGAGTGACGCACCTGAGTGTCATCGAGGACGAGGGCCGCCGAGGGCAAGAGGCCGAAGAAGGACTCGACCAATAGCGATGCCCCGCTCACGATTTTATCTCCGACCCTCACACTGAGCGCGCAGCCATCACTTTAGCTCCGACCAACACAAAAGAGGAGGCTACCGGTGTTACCTGGTGTTGTCGAGACTTCCCGCCGGCACGGCTTCGGTGGAAAGGAATGTGTCGACAGTCGACGAGGAGTGGGTCGTGGCATTGGCCAGCGCGTCGCGCATGCGAGCGGTCATGTAGATCACGATGCGCGAGAGCGCACGGGTGGCCGCAGGCGGCCGCACGCCCAGGTCGAGCGTGACCCGCGCCCTGCCAGTCCCTCGGGCGGCCCAGGCGTACGGCTCCAGACCGGCAGGCGGGGCGTAGCTGGCGAAGAGCGCCGAGGCCGGCTCCTTCCGGCCGTCGTAGAGCCTGGGGCACGACGATGACGTGACACCACCGGAGCCGGCGGTGGTGGGCTCTCCCTCCACACACCCGAGCACCGCCAGCTTGGTGTCATTGGCGTCAAAGAGCTGCGATCAAAACTCGGAGTCAGTCAAAACGTGTGAGATCGTGCGTGTGCGTGTGTGTGTGCGGTCGTTCGTGTGCGTGTGCGATGGGATTACCTCAATTTCGGCGATTTGCACTTGGATGGCGCTGGAGGGGAGGCTGAAGTCGAAGGTGACGTAGCGCGTCGCGTTGGCGCCCCAGGCCTGGTAGCTCCCGGCGGGGCACTGGCAGCGCCCGTTCTGGTCGCGCAAGGCGCCGGGCATGCAGGGCGTGAGACAGGCGTCGAACCAGCGCTCCGTCCCGGGCGGGCACCGGCAGCCGTCCTCCAGCCCGCCCATGAAGGACTGCCAGCTGGCCGCCGTCGGCGCGGCGGAGCGATTGCCCGCGGCCGCCGCCAGGCCTGGCATGCCGGCCCAATTCGGGTGAGAAGAAAAAAACAAAACGAAACAAAACATATGAACCTCGGTACGAACCGAGAGCAAGGGCGGTCTCGTTTCTGGTCATGCCATTGGGACACCGGGGCAAGCACCATCCCTTGACAAGGTCGCTCGACAAGCCCACGCAAAAGGCCTGCGCGCGAGAGACGATCAGTTACGTGCGCAGCGCAAGCAGAGCGTTTGCGAACAGCACGCGCCCATGTAGAGATGCCACATATTCACTTACCTCATAGCGTGACGAGGGGCTGTGCCAGCCGAGACGATCGACGGGCAGGCGAGCGTGGGTGATCGATATCTCGTCTAGCTGCGCGGTAAGCAGGGCAAATGTGGTGGGGAGCACGCCAAAGGCCGAGCTCTCGGTGCTCCGCTGGCCGCCCAGGGCCAGCTCCGTCGACGCCGGGTCGGTGGACCGAAAGAGGCGCCGGTCGTACCAGTCGTTGCCCTGCAGACCGAAGAGTTAGGTATGAGTGCATGTCGTGTATGCGAGTGTCGTGTGTCGGCGAGTTCGATCGTACGATCTGATTGCCGTCGACGTAGAAGGTCACCACTCGCCTGGCGTTGTCGCCGGTCACCGCCATGTGATGCCAGCCGGCATCGAGCACGAACGCGTCGCTCAGGGCCGCCATGTTGGTGGAGTTGATCGTCTCAAACACCAGCCTGTCGTGTGCATGCACCCGTGGATGAAGCAAGCGTGTGTAAGCAAACATCAGCTGATGATGGTATTCGTTCCCTCTCTCGCAGGAGGTCGTTCACCTGCTGTGTCCATCGGCCATTCGCTGCAGGTACCACCGCCACACCTGAGTCACGCCGAGCAAGCCAAAGCCCACTCCTGCGGCAGACGAATTGGCGTCGCCCGACTTGTACGTATCCTCCCAGTCAATCCACATCTGTGCCCACAGACCAAAGACTGAGCTGAGTGCAAGCCTGGCAGAGAGCCATGAAGAACGTTGATGTGTTGATGTGGCATGGACGTGCATGAGCGACCCATTACCTGAAGTGTGAATTGGGTGCCGTTGAGTGCGGCCATCGAGTAGAGGTCGCTGGGTGGAGCGATGGCCAGCGCCTGGTACACGACTGTGCCGTTGCACGACGTCGGCGAGTTGCGCGTTCCGCCGCTCGTCCACTGATAGAACTGGGGCCTGGTTGAGTAAGGTGTGATGTGTCAGAGCTCAGCGGCCCCAGAACACGACAACGGTCGGGAGTTCACATACGAGATTCCGGTGCGCCGGCAGGGCAGAAGGGTATGGCCGCCGTTGGGGGAGTAGAAGCCGATCGGAGTCGGTATACAGGCGTTGTAGGCCTCGTTGGCGTAGAGAGATGGGTTGAGGCACACGAAGGGGCACTGGGCGGTCTGCACGCCGTATTCGGGGTAGCTCACTCGCCCCAGAGGACCGTTGGAACTGTTCACAGACAACATACACCACACACAACACACGACACACGCACACGCACGCACGCACGCACGCGCACACACACACACACACGAGGGGAGGGCAGGCAATGAGTACACGCCGTACGTAGAGAAAGGGAGAGTATGTCGACGCACCATAGCCGCATAATGCCGTCGCCCAGGCAGTACGAGCCATTGGAGCAGATGGTGCAGTTAACACCGTAGTAGCCGGGGTTGCATTGACCCCTCTCTACTACTCGGCGTTGTCCCTGAATCGATTCGCTGGGCTGGCGTTCTAGGTCCGTTTCACCACTTTCATCATCGCCTTCGTGAACAGTATCTCCCCGCCGCAGAACGGGCGACAAGCTCTCGCCTGGCAGCCACACCAGAAGAAACGTGAGTTCGTTCACAATACGCTTCGCGACAAGTGAGAACTCACCTGCCAAATTCAAGGCGGTGTTGTTGGACGCGAACTGCGACGAGGGCACGGCAGTGAGCGTCGATTGTGCGTTTCTGTTATGCAGGGGCAGCGAACGATCAGGACCAGCTTTACACCGGTGGTCACCACTGGTAAAGACGTGTGTGATTTGATTACCTGGGTAGGTAGAGATAGTAGGTGTTGATTGGGGTCGAGTTGCCCAGCGGAGTGGTGGCGACGCGGGTCAAGTCGCCGCTCTTGGCCACGGCATCGCCTTCGACCAGCCACAGGAGCTCAGCCTGCGGCTTGCCGTCCTGGGCCGCGGTGTCGTGCACGCTCTGCAGCGCGCGACAGTCATAGAGGCCCAGCGACAGCAGGTAGGACGAGGAAGAAGCCACCGGCGAGCTGAAGCTGAAGCTGATGCGACCCAGCTCGGCGAGCTTGGTCCGTAAGCACGGCGACACGTTCGCCAGTCCCGCGATGCCGGTGAAGAGCGCGGCCATCCTGTCGAGCAGCGGCTGCACACGCTGATCGACCAGTGTGGCCAACATGGTGTTGGCTGTGGCCGTGAAGTTGCCTGTGCGTTTGTGTGGCGTTAGAGAACTACAGCAAGCAGAAAATATGTGGGTGTGGAGCCGCGCGCGTACTTGGTATTGCCACCCCGCTGGTGACGTAGCTGGAGTAGAGGCCCCACAGGTACTGATCCCTGATTGCCAACGAAGCCGTCAGGGCCGTCCAGTGATGCGCCACATAGGCGGTGGCCAACAGCTCGGTTGACCTGCACGCGGGAGCCAGTTGTCGGTGAGCGCCGATCGAGCAATTTGTGTACAGTGCAATTAGCAAGCAAGTTGCAGAGCCGCACTCCAGCACAAGGCTTCCGTTCTGTCGAGGAGTGGAACTGGCGTTGGTCAGAATCAGCGTGTGGGCGTCAACCAGGCTTGTGAGGCTGTTGTTGACATCGACCAGAATCCTCGACAGCGCGTCGACGTCAGTCTGTGGTTGGTTAGAGGAGAACGTGACGATCAGTCAGTTTCGCACTGTATGGTAGCTGATCAATTGAAGCCGACGTGAGTGGTAATGCCTCACCTGTGTCAAGAATCGGGCCGTTTGCTCGCTGAGAAGCACTTGCAGGCGGCCAGCCGCGTCAGTGTAGTTTGAAAGAGCGCCCGATGCTCGCTGGACAGCGGCTAGAGAAGCGCTGCTGAGCGCAGATGACTGTGCGGGAACACGGGAGATCATGGCATGAGATGAGCGACATGATGCTCCGTTCGGTAACGTTCAGCACAGAGCGAGAGAGGCGCCAAACCTGCCAGGAGCTCAACAGCGAGGCCGAAGCCGCGGTCAACTTGGAAGTGAAGTGTGGCTCGGAGGCGAGAGCCCATGTTGAGGCCAGAACCACAGCCTGTTGCGTGCGCAGAGACGGACAGTATGTCTTCAGCGCGCTGAGCGATGCCAGCGTCGAATTGTTGCTCTGTTCAATCACGAGAATCGATCAGTAATTGTTACCGCACTCCGCCTGGTACAATTAAAGGCAAACTGTTAACGCCTGGTACCAGCTGTTGGGTGAGCCCCGCCACGGCCTGGAGCGCATTGCCGACACTCCCCGCATTCATGGCGATCGACGCGATGCCCTGACGCAGCGAAGCAATATCGTCCAGCACCTGGAAGGAAGCCGCTTTCTGACGAATGAACAAAAAAAGGTCGGTGAGCGCCAACCAAGCAGACCGGCGGGCTGAAGGTGGACCACGCGTACGGGGTTGAATTGCAATCGCGCGTCAGAGTCGCAATCGCCCAGTGCTGCGGCATAGCCGTACGGCAGACAGGTCGAGCCACCACCCACAGCGACTGGAGCGTGTGAGAAGAGTGAAAAACGTGTTAGTGCGCGCAAACACAGTGTCACAAGGGGTTGCAGCAGTTAACCAACCAAAGCAGCTGGCCGACGAGCTCCATGTGCCCACCACGCTGGTCGTGTTTGTTTTGGAGCGGAGCGAGTGCAGCACCTCACGCACAGCCTTGAATGTGGGCCGGTAGTGCGTGTCTGGCATCGTCTGGCATATCACCCCGTTGTCGCCCACAACCGGCCAGCCGTGCGCGAGCAAGTCCAACGGCGATACGAACGTCAACAATAGGTCCTCTGCAAGAAAAACATAAAATTCTTAGCACAGGCGCTGGTGGCTGCCTCAGAGCAGAGCTCTTCACCACTGAAGAGGCAACTATAGAAGGAAAGGAAGAGGACGAAGGGAATGAAGGGGCTACCGGAGGTGGCCAGCAGTTGCTGCAGGCTCTGCGGCTGTGCCGTGGCGATGGGTGCCACACATGACAAGACGAAACAAAAAAACAGGACCCGGCCAAGCATCATTCAGAACAGGCTGCAGCAGCCCCTCCGTGGTGCCGTCACCCAATTCTTGTTCTTCGCGGACCTCCATGCGCGGTGCTGGGTACCTTTGTCCATTTATCTTGGCGTGCCATTCATGTGTGGAGAGAAAATGTATTTTCCCTGTCGACAGAAATAAGCTTCAGGCGTGCACGATTTGTGGAGGACCTGCACGGCAAGAGAAAGCAAGAAGGCCAACATCACAACAGCAGTCAATTATGCGGGGCTCGTCGAAATCGACTGCGGTTTTGGGCCTGCCTTTCCCCTCGCCCGCGGGCAGCAGGGCTGCTTTATGCACTGCCTCTTCCTCACGCATTTCGTCCCGGGTCCTCCCCCCAGCCCGCCTCCATTCTCTCGCCTCATCTCCTCTCCTCCCCCTCTCCGTCCTCTCCTCTCAGCGTCGCCACTACGCCGTTAAATCCAAGAATTTCGAGCGCAAGGAGGCACGCTACGACTTCTCCGAGATCACGAATCGCGTGTGGCCGCGGCACCCTCCGCCGCAGATCGATTACCGCAACTACGTCCCTGCCGAGGAGGAAGATGAAGAAGATGATTGGAAGCCCGAGGAGGATTATCCTGAGCCCACCTTCACCGCCGATCAAACTTCCGATCAATACATTTACCCCGTAATCACGCCCCAGACCGTGCCGGTCAAGATCGACAGCCGAACGGGCGCATTCCTGGGCACGGGCCGCAGGAAGGCCGCCATTGCACGAGCGGCACTGGTCAGCGGGCAGGGCAAGATCACCATCAATGGACGATCCTTCCTTGACTACTTCCCCTGCTTCTTCGAGCGCGGCGCTGTGCTTGCGCCATTCGTGGCCATCGAGAGGCCCAACACGTTCGACGTGAACGTGAATGTCTCCGGAGGTGGCACCAAGGGTAATCTCTCCTCCCTTCATCTTATTCATTCCTTTGTGTCCAAACATTCGGCTCACACTTCTTCTCACTCAAGGCCAAGCCGAGGCCATCCAGCTGGGCATTGCCAGGGCTCTGCAGAGCTACAACCTCGCCTTCCGCCCCGCTTTGAAGAAAGGTGCCAACCAAAGCTTGCCCCACAATGAGCTGCTACTCGCAACATGTCGTGCAGCTTGTTGTGTTGCCATCCGTCTCGCCTCGCTGACTCCCTCCTTCCTCCTCCTCCTTCTGTGTGCTCTGTACAGCCGGATGTCTGGAGCGTGATCCTCGTGTTGTGGAAAGCAAGAAGGCCGGTCGCGTCAAGGCCAGGAAGAGGCCTCAGTGGTCCAAGCGTTAAGCTTCGTGGCTTCCCTTCTCCTCTTGCGGTTCTCTCACTCTTCGTCCTCACCTCAAATACAACACAATCACACACACAAGCTCACGACCCACCACTCATGGACATGAAGAAGACGATGGTGCCCCACACACACTACAGTCGTGTGTTTACAGTTATGTCACTCAAAGCTTTATTGGGGAGAACAAAGTTTTTCACTTCGTAATCCGCGAACCCACTTCCTCCCTCCTTTTGTCTTCGTCGTCGTTGGCCTCCTCTCCTCCTCCCGCATCACCATCATCATCCTCCTCCGCTGCTCCCACTCACATGTCATCACGTGATCGTAGCCGTCGTCGTAGTGTTGCTGCTGCTGCTGCTGCTTGTGGGATTCGAGTGCGTTGGCGCGCCTATTTGTACAATGGGAGCCTCCCACCGAAAGGAACGAAGCTTCCTCCTCCGTTCGTTCGCGTTTGTCTTCCTCCACCTCCGTCATCATCTTCCATCGACACTCCTCCTTCCTCGCTGTTGGCCGGTTCGATCGTTCGCGCGTTCCTCCATCCTTCCATGTAGATCCTCGACGTTTCCTTCTTCCTTCTTCCTCTTCCTCCTCCTGATATCTTACAATATCATCGGTTCCGATTATTGCATGATGCACTCCTTCTTCTCTTTGTCGCCGCCGCCCTTCTTGTCCTTCTTGTCCTTGCCCGTCTTCTGGGTGTGGTCCACAAAGACAGCCTTGCAGGCCTCCTCGAAGACCAGCGACAGGTTCTTTTGCGTCAAGGCCGAGCACTCGACGTATTTGTAGGCGTTGATCTCCTTCGCCAGCTTCTCAGCCTGAGTGAAGAGTGAGCCAGTCAGCATCGGCACGCTACCGAGCGCGAGGAGTCACTTGGGTCCAGCAAGACAAAAGACGGAGATGGATTGAAAGGCACCTTGACGAACTGGATGGGAGCGAGATTGTGCTGCTTGAGGGAAGCGATCGTTTCCTCGTTGTCTCTCAAATCCAACTTGGTGCCGACCAGGATGATTGGCGTCTTGGGGTTGAAGTGCGTCACCTCGGGCACCCACTGGAGTGTTCCATAAATGAAAACAAAATGAGTACGCATTCTGGCGTTTGCATCTTCACTGAACACAGATCCATCTTTGATCCGGTCATCGTAGTGATGGGGCGGAGGATACCTTGTTCTTCACGTTGTCAAAACTTTCGGGGGAGGTGAGGGAGAAGCAGATGATGAACACGTCAGTTCCCGGGTAGCTGAGAGGCCTGAGCTGGTCGTACTCGCCAGAGCCTGAGATAAAGAAAAGCTCAATTCAGCGAGAGAAAGGGGGTACTCCGATCAAAGCCGAACATCTTCTCCCGCTAGTGCCGAGGGGCAAAAGGAGGGGAGGGATGACAATCACGTTACCTGCCGTATCCCAAAGTCCTGTAGTTGAGAAAGAAAACCTGGTTAGATAAAGCATTACCAGGGCCATTAGATAGAGAATAGGAAGAACGGACCCAAATTTACAGGATTTCCCTCAACGACCGTGTTGGCGGTGTAATTGTCGAACACCGTAGGCACGTACTCGCCGGGGAACGAGTTCGTCGTGTAGGAAATCAGCATACAGGTCTTACCGACAGCACCATCTCCAACAACCATAACCTTGCGATTGTGAGGAAAGTAAGTGATGTTAAACGCAAAGGCCAAATTGCAGGAGGGGGTGAAAGGATGGAAGAGGAACAAAAAGGAGGGGCGTTAGTACCTTGACGTCCTGTCCCATGTTGAGTGTTTATACAAGATAATCGAATGGGGGTGGATGTAGAGAGAAGTATTCGATAGCGGAGGGAGATGGAGAATGGAGAATCAAATGTCTGCGGCTCCGATTGGCTCTCTTCTCTTCTTGTTCCGGCGAGGACGTAGATCGATTGGAGTACGAATCGAAAAAAAAACGTAGCCACACAGTCGCACCGACGCAGAGTTGAACAGACGCCACCTGGACACACCGACAACAACCGGTCGACATAAAACATACAAAAACCAAGCACCCTCCCAAAGCCAATTGGCCGACCCCGTTTGAATCTAATTGGAGCAAAAATGTAGAACGAAGTTCGGCGGTTCACTTTCGCCGCACGAGATGACGAGAAGAGGAGGGGGGGGCCCGCGCACAGCGGTGGCAGTTGGTGCCAACTTGGTGGTTCGCCTTACTGCGTTTCGGCGAGGAGGCGGTTGACGTCCCAGGCCGTGTATTGCCTGGCGTAGGCCGGGGCCTGATCGTGCGAAAAAGAGCCGAGAGTCAGTAGGGTCGGGTCACCCAAGACCGCGTGGTGAGTGGGTTAGGTGGTGACGTCGTACCGGGCCAGCAACACCGAAGGGCGAGGCGAATGACACATACATCTTCATGTTGGGCAGATCGTAGAAGGCGATGTCTGTTACAACATCACAAGAATTAGAATATGAGCCAACGGCATGCCGTTGCAAGCGGATGGATGGGCGTACGATTGGAGCCCGACTGCTCCATGGCGGAGATGTAGTGGATGCCGACCTCGGCAGTGATCTTGCCGTGGTGCTGAATGAGCAGCTCGCTGAGCAGGCGGTTGTAGGCTGGGCAGATCCAGTCCTACATGGTACCGCATGATGTGCGTCAGTCGTACGGGAGGAGCGCCAGCGCCATATCCACTTTCGTACCATGCCCCAGTAGACGATATCCTTGATCTTTGGATGCCAGGTCGAGTTGTCGGGCTTCAGGTTGAGGTCGTTGAAGATGTTGAGCACCGAGTAGGAGTACTGGAAGCCACGGAACTCGTTCAGCTTGCCGTCGCCGACGCCGAGCATGAGGTCGCACGTGCGGCGCGAGTTGATCATGCGGTTGATGGCATCGTCGATCGTGTAGTCAAACTGCAAGATGTCCCGGAGGAGGAACACGAACGGCACACCCATGCGGCTCATCTCGCCGAAGCTGGCGTCGGCAAACGCGGCGCCGATCTCGGAGATGCCCAGCTTGGTGGCCGACATGCCGGTGAGGCCACCGATGAAGGCCGTGTAGCCCACATTGACGAAACCGTGGCCGTTGCCCTCGCTGGGGTGGTAAACCGTGATCTGCGAGTAGTCCCTGAATGGGCCTGCACTCACGGGCCGTGAGAAACAGATGCCACCAGACACCCTGGCGGGTTGGGCTCGAACCCTCCATGTCCCAGTCGAGGGCGCGGAGCTGAAGCAGGGAGGTGCCACCGGGCGCAAGGGCCTCTCCCCAGGCACCAAACATGCTGCAATCTCCCTGGGTGAGGCCTTCAGGAGGCGCGCGCGTGTGTGGTTAGCCAAAGAGGATGCGCGATATCTTATTTCCTGCTGCGAGGAGTGCGCACCGGCAAGCATGTGAATCCGCATCAAAGTCGAGAAATCGGCACCGCTGGCTGGAGGGAGGGGAAAGATAGGTCAGATTCCTGAGTGCCCTCTGGGCTCTACAATTCCAAAGGGCGGCGCTTACCATCGGCGATACCGTGCAGCTCCTCGTAGAAATAGGAGCCGCTCCACTCGTACGACAGCTCGTAGGTCACGTCCAAAGCCGCAGACAGACCTGCCAGAGGTAAACAAGTGAGACTTGCTTTTCTCTTCCTTCTGTTGTGCGATGCGGTGCCGCGAAGTGACGCACCGACATCAGCGATCAAGTCGGCGAGCCACGTGGGCAGGTATCCGGGCAGAGACTGGGCCACTTGGATTTCCATGTAGGCCCAGATGAGCTTCGCCACCTGGAGGACCTGCTCCTTCACGAGCTGACCCTGAGCGTAACCTGCAGGGTGGAATGGTACGTTTCATAAGAGTTATCAGCCACCACCGAGCCAAACAACCACAATCGAAGCAGAGAGAGAGAGAGAAACAGACTCACGCACCCATCTGGTAGGGCGTGCCCCACAGGTGGACCAACGTGACATTGCTCCTCTCGGCCGTGCTGTTGTGCGGCAGCACCACTCGATACTAGAGGCGGCACTTGCATTAATTCCCTCCCATTTTTGTGATTGGCAGCCGCACAAGAAATGGCGGACGCAGATCAGAGAAGAGTGACTTAGAGGGGAGGGAGTACAGCTTTGCCGTTCGGGACGGTGTTGATGAGTTCGCTCTGCTGGAAGCCGTCCAGGACTGCATACTGGTTCGGGTTTCCCAGCTTGGCCTTCAAAGGCACATGAGGCGAACGGCGTTCGCGCACCCTGGCTTAGTTCCTATCCGACTCGGAGGAATGGAAGAGAGAGTACCTCGCCTCTGCACAGCGCAGCGTCGGTGGCCAGAGTAAGGGCCGCAATGAGTGCGGCAATTAGAGCCAAGGTACGTACTGCGGCCATCCTGTTGTGGTCTGTTCGGTCTGGACCAGGCAGTCGGCTGCGATCCGTAATTTGCGCACACCAATCACAAAAATAATAACTACAGATAAAAACGCTTTTCCTTTTCACTAATTTCATTTTTGATTTATTGACACCAGCACCTGCCAAGCAAACGCCACACCCGTGCTCACAGAGCGCCAGGTACGTTGCAGCTGTTGAGATATTTTGTTATTTTATTTGAAATCCATAAATATAAAATAAATAAGAAAAGAGAATTATTAAAAATATTAGGATGGACGAGGACACGGCGTGCTACGTGTTCGATGCGACTCCCACTTCGCCCCTCACCCTGCCGCACTCGCCGGGCAACGCACAAGTGCCAACAAGCGAGGAGCCACCAACGGGTGGTGCACCAGAGTCGGCCTACGGCTGCTACGGGTTTCGTCCCTCATCCGTCTATCTCGGTACCGAAGACGACGACAACGAAGCCGAAGAAGCCGAAGACGAGGAGGATGGCGGCGATGGTGACGAAGAGGTGCATTTCGATCTCGCCTACCAGGTGACCGATGGCGAGCCCGAGATCGCGGACGACGGCGACACGACTCGAGTTGAGCGCATCGGCGGCAACTCGTACGTCCTGGATTCGGCCGATACGTCGCCGCGGGACCACGCCGACGACGACCGTAACGAGCCGGTCGTGGAGAGCGGCGGAGCCTACGTGCTGGATGCGGTCGGCGCCATCCGCGCTAGCAAGAACGTTCTGCGCAGCGGAGGTGGTCACAAGCAGAAGCAGCCGCAGCAGCAGCAGCGTGACGACCTCGTCGGCTCTTCGTCGGTGGTCTACACCAGCACGTTCGACGCCGAGAGCGAGAACGAGCGCGAGGACGCGTCGACGCAGCTCCACCAGAGCGCGAGCCCTCGGGGCTCTACCACCGGTAGTACCGGCCAGAGCGCGACTACTCGACCGCGCGGGAGTCCCAGGAGCAGCGGAAGCGGCAGCACCTCGGGTACCTAATCATCAATAACGGGCGTGGGTGTCATACGCTGGGCTAACATTAAGGTGGCGGTCGGTTAGTGAGGCCGCGCGGAGCGGCCGCCACAGGCCTGGGCCAGAGCGACACGGCGATGTCGCCGCGCATGACGCAGCAGGAGAGGAAGGACCTGCAGTGGAACGAAGTCTTTCAGCAGCTCCACGGCGAGATGCGGGCGCGGCACAGGGAAGGCCGGCCCTCGCTCGAGGTCTACACGAAGCTGAGCCACCACGCCCACGATTTCCTCAGCGCCGCAGGTGATGATCATTGCGCATTCAAGGCCACCCACCACCCACCGCCCACCACCGCGTGAATGCTGACCGCCGACGCATCGACTGACACTAACGCGCAGAGACGTACGGCAAGATCATCATCAGCGAGCGGTACCTCTCCAACGACCTGAAGACGATCAAGCCGGTGGACATGGGAGGTAAGCCCTCCTTGGAACTCCTTGGCTGAGGTGAGTGCGATGACTGACTATTTGTAATCACCGGCGGCAGGCGCTGCGGGCGGGACCAAGTACATTTGCAGGGGCATCCTGTTCAAGTTCTCGGGTATGTATGTGGGGCGCTCGTGGCCCGGAGCTGTTATTCGTTTGTTCTTTTCTATACAAGGTTGCTGGTGCTGACAGATTGACCACAGTGGACACCAAGATTCGGGGCGCGACGAAGCTGGTCTACATGTACGGCGGCAAGAAGCCCTGCGACGAGAAGGCGATGAAGGCGGGCGGCCACGAGCTGAAAGGTACGGCTTGACGGCTTGCTCTGGCATTGCATCGGGCTCGAGATTGACTGGGGCTGCGTCTATTCGGGCAGGACTGGAGGGCTACTTCCACAGCGGCGTGGACGCGCTTCACTGTCCCCTCATGGTGATCATTGGTACTTACCCACCACCACTTTACCGCCCCATCGGGTACGCCAATGCAATTGTGATGTCCTGACCCTGTTGCCGCGTCCAGACTTCAGAGGCTACCGACTGACCGCCATGTCCACGCTCCCAATCGGCATCGACACCCTGCTCTATGGCTCCGGGTGCGCTCACAATCGTTGACTGCAGCTGTTCTGGCGAGTGTTTCTAAGCCGAGTGTCTCACAACCGCCACCACAGCGACGCTGGCAAGACGGTGAAGGCGGACAACGTGCTGCTGAACGAGGCCATGGAAAAGGCCGGCGAGCACCTAAACCTGGCGTCTCATCTGGTGCATTCCCATCTTTCGCTTGCTTTGCATTGCTTTGAACCGAGGGACTGACGTCCGGCGTGTCAGGTGGGCGACAAGATGATCACCGGACCCGGCGATGTAAGTTGCACCTCTTCTTACCACTCACTGACAGTCAGTCTGCATTGGCACGTCTCACCACCAACGCTCTCAAACAATAGATCGAAGGCCACCTGGGACGAGACGGGCGCTTCTATGTGATTGACTATGCGCGGACATTCCCGCCCGAAGGCCCGCCTCCCAAGTACACCCGCACCACTCACCCACTCTGAAGAGCGCGAATTGAATCGGAGGCCTGACCCTGTTGGGGTGGTTGGTTGGTTGCCACACCAGCCTGGACGGGTGGGACCGTAGGTCGGTCTTTTACGAGCTGCTGCGGCCGGAGCTGGTGCAGCGATATCCGCGCCAGTTATCTTCAGACGCCTTCTCCAACTGGCAGCTGCACGAGCCTCGCATGAAAACGTACGCTGACCATGCGCCGTGTGTGTCGTGCTGCGTGTGCGGCGCGTGAATGTAGCATGCACGGTGAATTGGCGCCAACGTGATTGAATGCCAGGCTCAATGACGAGGTGACAAAAGCGCGGCACTACCTCCACCACGTCGTCATCCCCGAGTTTGCGGAGAAGCTCAAGGACCCCCAGTTCACCGAATCTTTCTTCCCCTCCGTCTACCACCCGTCCTTCATCTTCAACCAAAAGCGAGTCCCCCTCCCTCCTCTCCCCAGCGACACCGACAGCAGCTGATAATGGGGCGGTCTGCGCAATGGTGTGCCCCACAGGAACGACGAAAAGGACGAAACGTTGCTGTGCTATTCGCTGCACAAGCACGGCATCAACGTGCGCCACCTCGGCCGGCTCAGGTACGTCATCGGTGCTACCACACTCATCGCCGAGTGCGATTTTTTTCTTTGTCTCGGACTGAACTGAACCATCGCAATCGCATTGCATCGGCCCGCAAAGGGCGTGCCTGCTGGCGGACACGTCGGTTGAACCGAGCGCTGCCGCGCCCGAGGGCGTGGACACGCGAAACGTGGGTGCTCTCGCCTTCCTAGGTAGGAAAGGCCATGCGATGACGACTCTGAAACTCTGATGAGCTGAAGCCAGAGGCGCTGACAGACACACGCCTTTCTTTGCGTTGCGTGTTGCGTTGCATTAGGTCCGCCCGGGGGCTCGCAGATCTCGCCGCTTGCCAAAATCAAAGCGCTCCTCCTGGCGGAGATGGCGGCCCGCGTGATCAAGAACCTGGCCCGCAAGAAGATGAGACGCCTCTTCCGCAAGTCCAAGCTACCCTCAGGTAACTGTGTGTGTGTGTGTGCGCGTGTGCGTGTACGTGTGCGTGGGTGTCGTGGTGCTGACGTCGGCATTACAACGATTCGTTGTAGAGGAGCCCTATCGGAAGATGATGTCGACAATCATCAATTCGACTCTGCACACCACCCGCAATCAGCGCTTCTGGGCGCGGAAGGTGAGGAAGCCCCTCATCAAGAAGTTTGGTGAATCGGCCCTGGGTCCGGACGAACTCGACGGCGCCACCCTCCGCAAGACGATCAAGGAGGCCCAGCTCGAGCCCATTCTCATTCGCAGGTAGGGACCCACTCAGCGAGTGCATTCCGTGCATTCCTGACCCGCAGTCTGACACGGCACGGTGTGACGTGGCTGGCCAGAGTGCTGGCGATGCTGGGCATCTCAATCGGGGTGGCGGCTTGGACGGCGCTGCTGAACAATCCCTTCGCGCGCTTGCAGCCCTCCGATATCGTCCTCATCGGAGCTCGCGGTTCGATTCGACACTTCACACGCCCCCAATCGCTTTCTTGCTTCCCACACTCACCGTCCGCGTTCGTGTGTCGTGTGTCGTGTCCTATCGTGTGTGCCCACACAACACAGTCAAGTACCAATCTGTAATCGACTACAGCGAAGGTGTGGCGATGTACTTGGAAGCCAAAAAGCAGCGCAGAAGAATCGTCAAGGAGCTCACCCTCGAGTATGCCTCACCCAAGTCTTCCCCTTTGGGCCTGGCCTCTGATGTTATTTATTTGTTTTCTATTTTCTTTATTTTTCGCTCAGGGAGCACGACACGGACGCTGGAATGATTGGGGCGTCGCCTGACGACTTGCGATTGCTCAGCTTCGCCAACGACAAGCTGCACCTCTCGCTCTCTGTCAACACCCAACACACCGCTGGACGCGTCTACTTGGGTGCCTGTTCACCGCTTCCCTTTCACAGGCCCACGAGAACTCACCTGGTCGGGCGTGGGTGCGTTACCAGGATGCGCGTTGTTGGAGATGTGCAAACTGGCTAGCGGACCCATGCAGCATTACTTGGTCAGGGCCATCGAGACATTCGAAGAATGGTGCGCTTTCTTTCCGCCTTCTTTGTTCGTTCGTTCTCTCATTCTGTCTTCGCTTTCGTTCTCTTTCATTCAACTCACACCTGCTCACATGCTGACGACATCGGCCACGTAGTTTGGATGACGACAATGAGAAAGATGACCCGCTGCTTCGATTCAACTACGGCGAGAGTCTTTGCCTGAAGGCCGCCTGGGACTGTATGGTCTCCAAACAGAGCGTCGCCGCCCACACCGACATGACGCGCGGTACCATCATCGACCGCAGAGCCCATAAGACTGCCGCCCGAGCTGACCTTCGTTTCGTTTTCGTTTTCGGTGAACCAGGCAAGCGCGTGCTGGAGGAGGCCTTGGGCCTTACCGAGACGGGCGACACGAACCGGGCGCGCGTGTTGTCCTACGCCAACACGCTCTACCAGGACTGCCTGGGATTCTACACGCACTCCATCGTAAAGGGCCCGCGAATCCTACCCATGCAGGCGGCGTTCATGGAGTTCGGCGTCGAGATGACCGATCTCGTCCTGCGCGTGTTCACGAGCGCCGAGCGGAGCCTCACAGGGGAGGAAAAGAACGAAAGCGAAGCCAAAGGCGAAAGCGACAGACCTGCCCAGCAGAAGGAGGTGCTGAACGAGAGCAAGGGCAAGGGGAGCGCGAGCAGCGACTGCGATGGAAGCGAAAGCGAAGAGATGGAGGTGGCGGACGACAAGATCGCACGCGAGG